AAAAAAAAAAAAAAGTCAAATAATTTCTCTTGATAACGTGTTACCAAATTGAGGCCTCTTCTAATAAATATATATCAATTTCAGCACCACATAAAATATAGATTTTTGTTTAAAGCTGGCACCAAAGTCAAAATGAACGCGGTCAATATTACTTATTAACAACTGACTTGCATGAGCTCTGATTAAGTGCCAAATATCAAAAATACACTTTCAGCAGGAGACCCAAACTTGTTGTGTCTCAGTTTCTCCATAGAGATGTGGACAAATATAACCTCTGACGCTGAGTGCTGTTGTGTAGAATAAGCAAATGATTTTACATTCAGACTGTTTTGAATAGTACAATAAGCTGCCAATAGTGTTAGCTATTCTCACCTTCATTATTTCACTTAATGCACAGTAATTTCTGCTGCATATTCATTTACAGAAATGCTTCACTGAGGGTCTGAGATGTCTGCACTGCCAACATTCATATCCTAGGGTGGGACCAACTCAAAATCACACTGCAGGAGTGCCACTGGAATCACACCTGTGAGTGGGATTACAGATCCACGTATCGCGAGCTCACTGGAGACTTCCTTTGTGAAAAGGCAGAAGGACTAAATATGTGTGGAAGCCATTCTGCCGTGACTGACAGAGTGTGCCTTTCTGATCAAAGACAAAAATCCACCCGGATCCAAAATGAACCAAATAAAACTGCATTGATTCCACACACCAGTTGGCTCCTCGAGGAAGGAAGGAAGGAAGGAAGGAAGGAAGGAAGGAAGGAAGGAAGGTTGTTCCTAGGCAGATCTCCTAAAAGCAGAAGAGTAGAAGAGTGATCAAGAGGCTAGTAGGGTAGATAGAGGGAAGGAGGATCAGAGAACGTGTGGGTAACAGCTACTGGAGTCGAGTTAGAGAGGAGGACTAAGTTCTAGTGCTCTTCCCCCACAGCCGTGTAGGGTGGCTATGGTTTATGACAATTTCTCATGTTTCTAGCTATCTAGAACACAGGGCTTCCCAAGTCCTACCAAAAGGGAATGCTAATCACTCCCTTCATCAGAACACTTTGTGTGCAAATATCAACTGATCACATGATCTTCCAGAACTACGTCCAATTTTCATGCCAATGAAAATGGACCTGTAGCTCAATGATAGGGTGCCTGCCTACATTCCCAAGGCCTTGGGTTCAATCCCCATGCCGCACAAAAGACAAGGAAAACAAAAGGTGTGCTAACGTGGAGGCAGAAGTGATTTTCACAGCCTCCTTTCCAGGCAGCCTGTGTGAACGAGAGCCGGAAGGCATGGAAGAAGGAACAGAGGAGTCATTACAGGGAAGAGGGGAGCCACTTCTGAGAAAGGGGGTTTCCTGGACTTTAATGGCTGCTTTACAGGAAGGCAAGTTTCCATAAGGCAAATGGATCTGCTAGATTAAACAAACCAGTGTCCTGAGTGAGGGACTTCCCGGGGTCTCAAGTACCCTATGTGTACTGTAACTTGCCAAGTTATGGAACTTTAAGTCAAGAAAATTTGTTTCTCAAGGACCATGTGACTTTGAGACTGGCTGGTTCATACTGTGTTGACAAAGAGGCTGAGGAGTCAGGAACTCGGCTCTGGGTCTGGCCTCCCAATGTCCTCTCCGTGTAACCTTCGAGCTAAAGCAACTGCTTAATCAATTATATCCAAACTGACCCGATATCTTACCTACATCAGAAAGCACCCGGATGCAGCTCTCCACAGAGGCTTTCTGGCTTGGCATTAGCCAGTTGCAGTGGTAAACCCTGAACACACCCTGCAGTAGTTGTACAAAGACAGGCTGGCGGGTCTGTAAGAGAGACAGAGAGATTAGAAGAGGAGGGAAAAAGACCAGAGATTACTGATGACTGAATCATAAATTGGGTATGGTGGTTCTTGTCTGTAGTTACAGCTACTTGAGAGGAAGAAATCAGGACTGTACTTCAAGGTCAGCCTGGGGAAAAGTTAATGAGACCTTCATCTCAATCAGCAAAGCCAGAGACATGAAGGTGTACCCTGTGATCCCAGCAACATGAGAGGCCGCACACAGTAAGATCACAGTCCAAAGCCAGCCCTAGGCAAAAATTCAAGACCCTACCCACAAAAATAACTACAGGAAAAGGTTAGAAGCATGGCTCAAGTGGTAGAGTGCTTGCCTAGGCCTAAGCAGTTAAGAGCCTAACTCACAGAGAGAAATATCCCTAGGATTTACTGAGCATCCACTCTGCCTGCCAATACCAAAGAAATAAATGGAGAAGAGTAACTTGCCCTCTCTGTCCAGATGCAATGGGTAAGTCGATCGTATCAGTTCCCTGGACCCCTTGGGCAAAAGGACGTGGTGCTGCTAAGGTCTGGATATTATTTAATCTCAGTGTCTCCCACAGGTTCACACTGAAGTGGTGAAATCTGAGAGGCGGGCCTCTGCGGGAGGTGGTTAGGTGATGGGATGTGTGCCTTGAGGGAGCTTTTCCTTCCTGCCACCCTTTTCCCTCCCTCCTTCCTTCTTCCTCTCTCCAGTTCCTGCCTCCAGTTCAGTTAGTTTTGTTTCTATGCATGCTCCCACCAGGTACTACCATCTGCCACCATCACCACTGCTGAGCCAATGCCGGTGCCATGCCTTAGACTCTCCCAAACTATGATTCACACAAATCTTTTATCAGTTGCCTTAAGTATTGTGTTATATTAACATGAAGTTGGATAATACATCTACCTGCCACATTCTGCCCAAGTCCCCTTTTCTTAAGTCCGGAGGTACTGTCTGGTCTTTTTTCTGGCTAAGATTTTACCTTATCCATGTTCATCTCTTGTCTCAGAAATTCAGAGCCTCATATACATATTTGCTTATTAACAAATTAGCAACCAGGCACAACTCAAAGTGCAAGGAACAGAGAAAGGAGATAACCATGGACTGAGCAAAAAGTAGGGCTGGAGGTGTGGCTCAAGTGGTTGAGTGCCTGCTAAGTAAGCAAGTCCTGAGATGTCCTGAGTACAAAGCCCCAGTACTACCCCCACCCCCAAAAAAAGATAAGGTCAGGCGTTTCATTGTTAAAGAGTGTTGGGTATGTAAGAATCTACTTAAGATCTTCTGTGATTTAGAGGGAAGAGTAGAAAATCCTGAAGAGGGTTGATGCACCAAAGATTTTTAAAAGAAAATCAATATTATCAGTAAGTACAGCTGATTCTCCATGTCCACAAGTTCTTTGTCTTCAAACTCAACCAAAACTGGGTCAGTACTTAACATACACACATTCTCCATGTCATTATTCCCTAAGTAATACAGTTTAACAATTTTTATATCATGTTACGTGTTCTAAGTCATCTGGAGACAATCTGAAGTCTGCTGTGGCATGTCCTATCCACATTAAGGACTTCAATATCCATGAATTCCAGTATCTGAGGGCTGGAGATGTCCTAGAACCAGTCCTAAGCAGCCCTGTCAATGCTATCTTCCACCAAGAGAAGAGCATCTCTTTCCAATGCTCCTTGAATGGCCCACACCCGAGAGAGCTGCACACCTCATCTGCGTCAGCCTCGGCTGCTGAGGACCAGCCCCAACTCTCTGCCCCTTGCTGTGCTTCTCACCTGCAAAGTGGTACTCTGGTCGGAGAAGGGAGAGCTGAAGAAGGTAGTAACGATACTCATCACGATTTCAGTGACATACTTCTCCAAAATGGAGTCGGCGTGTTTCCTGTCGCTTGTGTTGTTACAGGCCTGGAAAACAATTGAGTGCTTTAAACGTTACACCTAAACCCAGTAGAAAATATTAAGAAGCCCATGGCCCTGCCTGCTGACTACCCTTATAATGAAAGCTAAAACCTACACATCAGTCTTTCTCCCTATAAGAAGTTAGCCATAGCAAGATTAGAGTCCACGTTGTGGTGAAAGACAAGTAAAATCAGCCTAGATATCATGGTATTGATTCATAGCACATCCAGATTGGGAAGAGACTGACAAAGGCATGGACTGAAAATTCCTCTCCATGTCCAAAGCTGTGGAGAACAGTAAGAAGCATGGTAACTCCAGGTGTCTCAATTTGTTCCTTAAAGGTAGAACTGCCCACCTGAGCAAGCCGTCTATCTGCTCCACAGGGCCCTAATGCATGTAATCAGTAGAGTGAAGTGCATGCACTCCAGCATGTCTGTCAGCCTCCGGCTCTCATTCATTCAGTAAGAATTGTACTGAGATTACACTGTTCAAAACAGCAGGGGATAATTTGGAATAAATGACTACATATGTTTTGTGTGAGTTAACACCTTAGATTTAACTGTACTCTACTTAATTTTGTTAAAGAGTTGCCATTTGTAGGTTTAAATAATGATTACTAAGCTTATTCATTCTATAATTTGAAACTTAAAATTGCTTATACTAAAAAAAAGGGGGGGATGAAAAAAGTTGTATTAATAGATGATCATGTTCTAAACCTGAGTACTCAATAGTTTCAGGAAAGATTCACAGGGCTTTACAGCATTTCTAAACAATAAAATGTAGGGCTCAATAAACTAAGGGCTGGTGGCTATCTTTATGAATAATGTTTGATTTATACCCATTTGTTTGGGTATTGCTATGATTGCCTTTTTGCCACAAGAAAAGACCTGAGTAGTTACGATAGAAATGGATGGTACATAATGTGGATATGTATTAACAAGTCCTGTACAGAAAACTTCAGCTAAGACTGATCTTAAGCAAAGGAGGCCTCCGATTACAAACCTTAAGTCTAAGACAAATGGAGTCAAAAGACTTGCACATGCACGCATGCACACACACATACACACATATACACACACAACACACACACACATACATCTGTAGCACCAACATCTGAGCTGAGCATTATTTTATATAGCATCTTCAATTAGAAAGCAGTTTGGGGTGTGTTTTCTGGTGGGGGTTAGACTGAGGATTAAATTCAGGGCTTTGTATTTATAGGCAAGTGCTCTATCACTTGAGCCATGCCTAAAGTCCAGAAAATAAGTTTTTGTAGGTATTCTGCCTGTAAGTATACAGTCAAGCAAAAAATACCATGATTCCACAAGGTGTTCTTTTTGTTGTTGTTGTTTTATCAGTCATGGGGCTTGAACTCTGGGCCTGGCACCGTCCCTTAGCTCTTCAGCTCAAGGCTAGCACTCTATTACTTGAGCCACAGTGCCACTTCTGGTTTTCTGGTGGTTTATTGGAGATAAGAGTCTCATGGACTTTTCTGCCTGGGCTGGCTTTGAGCTGTGATCCTTAGATCTCAGCCTCCTGAGTAGCGTGAGCCACCAGCACTTAGCCACAAGTTACTTTTTAAAAATACGAATATTCTGTTGAAATATGAAATCAGAAAAAATCTCGCAATTATTTTCTGAAGATCTCTTTACCTACACCACTCAACTCCACCACCAAGTTGCACTAAGTTCACATTACACTTTGTCCATAGAGATGATACACACACACAGACACAAAGACACACACACACACACACACACACACACACACACTTTATAACTGTGTTTCTTTACTTCCAGAAAGCCTTACCCTGCAGATGTCCACCAGGAAATTTTCAAATAATTTCCACATGTGATTGCTGGTATAAATCTCCTTCATTTCCACCTCAGTATCCACATAGCAGTGATTCAGGAAGTTAATATATGCAATTTTAACCTGGAAGGCAGAAGCATGCTTTAGTGAAAAGCTAACAATATTTGGAATGGATTAGCTGCATTCTCTTAAAAGTGCAGAGCACAGATCAAAAGTGGATATTCCATTTTTCCCATTAGCTCTTACTTCTGTTATCTTCTGATATTCTCAAATTTGAAAAAAAAAACCATAAAGCTTTTAGAAAGATAAGTGTTTTTCGTGACTTCAAGGTAAAGAATGACGAAAAATTCTGACCATAGGAGAGGGATACATTTGATGACACTAAATTTAAGAATTTCTGTTTATGAGCCAAGCACCAGTAGGTCACGTTTGTAATCCTAAACTTGTCAGAAGGCTGAGATCTGGAGGACTGATGTTCAAAGCTAGTCAGGGCAAAAAAGGCCAGGAGACTCCATTTCCAAAATAACTAGCAAAAAGCCAGAGTAGAGGTGTGGTTCAAGTGGAGGACTACCAGCCAAGGAACTGAGGGCCCTGAATTCAATCCCTTATGTCAGTAAACAGCAACAAAAATCCTGCCCAGGAGATGGTACCATTACAAGTTAGATGGCAACGTTGAGAGATGTGTGCAATGCTGAACCAATGAAGAACTTCTACAACTCCTCACACACAAGGCACCCCGGGAGTGTCTTCTCAAAGGAATACAAACTATCCAAAAGACACATGGAAGAAGACTCTGCCTCATTTAGTAATCCAGGACCCAGAAATTAAAACCATTCTACTACATGATCCCATGTAGCCAAACAAAACGTGTTCATAAAAGTCCACAAGGCTGAATGGATAAATAAAATGTAGTCCATCCACATCATGGCGTGTTACTTGGCAATATAAGTGAAGTTCCACAATAAGCTAAAACTTGCATGAGCCTTAAAAAAAAGTACGCTTTTGTTTTTCCCCTACTATCCCTTCCGGTAACAATGCTGGTTAGGGAATGTGCTCATTGCCTTGCTCATGTAACTGTAACCCCTCTGTACAGTATCTTTACAATAAAAATATTAAAACAAATTTTAAAAAGTATGCTAAGTGGAAGAATCCAGTCAGTATTACAGATCCTGATTATACTCAATGTCCAAAAGCAGCACAGAGAGATTCGTGGCTGGCTAGGCCTAGGGCTACTGGAAGTACTCTACGCACCGAGGTGGATGCAACTGTCCTGTGCTTAGATACATGCATGCAGGTGTATATGTGTGTGTGTGTATGTATGTACATATAATAAGCACACACAATATGCAGAACAGTGGAATAGACAGTAACAATTATTTCTTTTCTTTTTTTGGGGGGGGGTCCGTTAGTGGGGCCTCAACTCTGGGCTTGGGCACTGTCCCTCAGCTCTTCAGCTCAAGGCTAGTGCTCTACCACTTGAGCCACAGCGCCACTTCCAGCTTTTTTCTTATGTGGTGCTGAGGAATCGAACCCAGGGCCTCATGCTTGCAAGGCAAGCACTCTACCACTGAGCCACCTTCCCAGCCCAAGAAACAATTATTTCTGTGAGAGGGAACAGACTAGGAGATTTTTCATGGGTTAGCCCTTTATGATCTTTCTTTAGCATTTGAGCTTTTCAAAATGCATTAACTGTACAAAATCTAAAAGCATAATGTGATATATGTTTGGTATATACATGCTATACAAGTTATATAATTTCTGTTTAAAATATAAACTGAAGAAAATGAGGGAGGGACACTGTTCATAAAGAAATGTACTCAGTACCTGACTTATGTAACTGTAACCCCTCTGTGCATCACTTTTACAATAAAAATTTTAAAACAATAAAATATAAACTATATCTGTATATTTAAATAGGTAAGGAAAAATATATACTGTATAATGCATTTCTTTAATTACTAACCTAAGCAAATAGGGCAAAAGGAAGCCTGGAGGGAATAATGTCAGAATGAACAGGCATTCTTTAGGGTTGGAGGAATTATAAAATTATTTGATGGTATTAGTGATTGCCCATAATTCTAAACTTCTTATAGGGGTCACTCATCATTTCTGTAGTAAGATCGCATCTCAACACAGTCTTGGCTTTTTTCTGAGGTGTGTACTTGGGGCACACAGGTTGAATGTGTACCACAGAGGCTGAAGCTTATCTCCTGCTTTGCTTAAAGGGGCAGAAAGAGAAACTCACAACCCCTCGGTCCTGAGTTTAGGAAAATGTTCCAGCAACGGAAGCTCTTTGAACAGTATGAACTGCAGGCTCATTCACATGTTCTGGTCCCGTGCACTACACAAGAGGCAGATACACAGGGCACCCCTGCCCGGCTGGCTCACCTCGGGGATGCAGTCCTCATGGGTGACCACGCGGACGATGTCATCCAGCGGGAGCAGCGAGTTGCACTTGATCTCAGTGTAGACATTTTTGCCCTCCGTGCACACAGCCAGCAGCTCCACCAGGTGAATGTGGTACATGAGGGGGCTGTTCTCATCCATTCGGTCCCGCTCGGACCGCATCATCTGGATGAGCGTCTGGAAAGAGGCTCTGTCATTGTAGAACACCAGAACGTCCTCTCCTGAATTGACCAGCTGCAGAAAGAACAGAGCGTGTTGGTATGTCAAGCTCAGCACAGTGGCAGTAGCCTTACACAATTCTACGTGCAGAAAGAGATGAAGGCCTTCGTATTTGTCTTCCCAAACCAGTCTTACTATATTCCTCAACTCATCTAGATGTCACTCATTGATAGGGCGGATGGGCCAAAAAGCCCTAAACAGCATTATTTTAACCCACAGGTGCTAAGCTGTAATGGTCGTCCTAAAAACATACTGAGCCAAAGATACTGCACACAGACATGAATGCATCAAATGGAAATACAGACAACATACTTGCACCAGTATTCCCAAACTGCATTAAGCAGGCTATGATTTTCCCATTTCCCTTTTTCACCATACAACGCATCCCTTTTCATCCAATGTCATATCTCTTCAATCACAAATCATTTCTATGACCATCAAAGGTCAAAACATTAACTAGAACTCGGTGTCAGGAGGCTCATGCCTGTAATCCTAGCTACTTAGGAAGCTGAGATCTGAGGGGTGTGGTTCAAAGCAAGCCCAGACAGGAAAGGCTGTGAAACTTTTATTTCCAATTTTAACCACCAGAAAACCAGAAGTGGCACTGTGGCTCAAGTAATAAGAGCACTAGCCTTGAGCTGAAGAGCTCAGGGACAGCACACAGGCTCAGAGTTCCAGCCCCACAACTAACAACAACAACAAAAAAACCATTAGTTGGGCACTGGTGGCTCAGGCCTATAATCCTTAGGAGGCTGAGATCTTAAGATTGTGGTTTGAAGCTAGCCTAGACGGAAAAGCCTGTGAGACTTTTGTTTCCAATTAACTACCAAAAAGCAATGGAAGTGGCACTGTGGCTCCAGTGGTAGAGTGCTAGCCTTGAACATAAAAGATCTGGGATAGTGCCCAAGACCTGAGTTCAAGCCCCAGTACTGATAAAAAAAAAAAAAAGTCAAATAATTTCTCTTGATAACGTGTTACCAAATTGAGGCCTCTTCTAATAAATATATATCAATTTCAGCACCACATAAAATATAGATTTTTGTTTAAAGCTGGCACCAAAGTCAAAATGAACGCGGTCAATATTACTTATTAACAACTGACTTGCATGAGCTCTGATTAAGTGCCAAATATCAAAAATACACTTTCAGCAGGAGACCCAAACTTGTTGTGTCTCAGTTTCTCCATAGAGATGTGGACAAATATAACCTCTGACGCTGAGTGCTGTTGTGTAGAATAAGCAAATGATTTTACATTCAGACTGTTTTGAATAGTACAATAAGCTGCCAATAGTGTTAGCTATTCTCACCTTCATTATTTCACTTAATGCACAGTAATTTCTGCTGCATATTCATTTACAGAAATGCTTCACTGAGGGTCTGAGATGTCTGCACTGCCAACATTCATATCCTAGGGTGGGACCAACTCAAAATCACACTGCAGGAGTGCCACTGGAATCACACCTGTGAGTGGGATTACAGATCCACGTATCGCGAGCTCACTGGAGACTTCCTTTGTGAAAAGGCAGAAGGACTAAATATGTGTGGAAGCCATTCTGCCGTGACTGACAGAGTGTGCCTTTCTGATCAAAGACAAAAATCCACCCGGATCCAAAATGAACCAAATAAAACTGCATTGATTCCACACACCAGTTGGCTCCTCGAGAATCAACACGTGAAATAACTTGGAGTTAGCTAATTGAGTGAGTAATTAAAGAAATCCCTATTCACAAGAAGGAGCCCTGTTCTAGCTGACTGAGCACTAACCACATCTAGTCCGTTTGGGTACACTGTTTCTCTTCCTTTTTCCTTCTGAGAAGAATCCAAAGCGAGGGTCCTTATAAGATTTATTGCCCAGGAAAATCGGATCAGCCGCCTGCCTAAGCCCACAAGTAGGAAATTATAGACACAATTACATTCTACCTTCCCATACAGCAGAGGTGCCCCCTCCTACCGAGAGGATTAAATAATTTTCAATTCCCACAGAACCCCAGGTGGAGGTTGTAGGAAAGAGATCACGGTCACCTCAGCCATGACCATGTCTTGGCACTTCTTAATGAATTTCCCTTCCGCCTTGACGATTGTCTGCAAGAACTTTATATACTGGACATTCCGCCCGTGGGTCTCGATGCAGTGGACAAAGTGCTGGACCACTCGCTCGTTGATCTCGCTGCAAAGCTGGAAGTTGTTCATGAAGATGTGCTGCATTGTCACGGCCTCCAGGATCTGGCATGACACAAGGGCAAGAGCAGAGGGAAATGCTCAAAATGGGGCTGGGGCAGATTAGAAAAGGAGGGAAAGAATAGCCCATTGCACACCCACACACCTGCACGCCTGCACGCACGCATGCACACACACACGGAGGCTGCATTCTCACATTTGTACTATCTTCTGTTTTAGTAAACAGTAAAATAAACAAATAGCTCAATGGACTACCAAGGAAACCTCAGCACCCAGATCAGGAAACAGTATAGGCTTCCTTTATATCCCATGCCACTGTTTCACTGTAACCACAGGTCAGTTTGGCCTGTCCTTGAACCCTGGGCACTGGCCCTCATCAGGATGTTGTTTTGTTTTGCTGCATGGGTATCATCTATTCCATTTCGTTTGGGCCCCTGGGGGAGGACCCCACGTTAACACCTACTGATGGTATTCATTTTACAATGGTACCGACAGTGCTGCTCCAAACTTTCTCTCTGTATTTTCTAGTCAACAATATACACATTTGTGTACACTGGATTTAGACTCAAGAATGGATTTGGGGGGGTTTAAGTATTAATGTTAAGTATGCCAAACAGCTTTAGAAATGTTAGGTCTACATTCTACAAACAGCTACAATTCTGTATCTTGTTACTGTGGGTCTTTTGAACTTTAGTCGGAATTTATCACGCACATGTACGACACTTGCATTCAGCTCATGGCTGACTGTATGTGCGCCCTGGCACGTGAACCGGCCATGTGGATATTTTCTATGAAGGAGTGTCTAAGTTTTTCCGTCCACTTGTAGAAGTGAGCTGTCTTTTTTTGTTATTGAATTTTTATTTTTTTTAAAATGAAGAAATGTGTGTTCCTTTAAAATCAGGGCTGTTTACACAGTGTGCTTATTATTACTACACAGTCATGAAGATATTCTTGTGTTTCAGGGACTTTATTTTTCATTTTTAACCAAAGTTTCTGAGGCCTACTGAGTTTTAATGTTTGGTGGGAGTAGGGGCTTCAATCTTTACTTTTTTCCTTTTCTTGCCAAGATGCATCATGCTCATAAACTGACATGCTGAATGAAACCCTTTGGTAAAACTAAAAATAATGAAAATATAATTAAAATTACAACCAAGATGTGGTATTACCCTACCAACCAGCAGTCCTTTTTCTAAAAGGCGTCATTACTGCTCATGAATGCATGTATAAAGATGTACTCTGCTGTTATTATTTACAAAGCCCCCAAACTGAACATTGGCTACTCATATGGGGATAGTTTTTTAAAAAGTCACATCCACTTTATTTAATGCCATTTAGCCATTGAAAAGAGCAAGAAAAAAATTATTTCTCATTTGCAAAGGCATCCAATAACATGCTAAATGAAAAAAAATCCTGTATAATATAAAGTGGGGCACTATTTTGCTCAAATGTGTAACACAGATATGCTGCTGTATGTATACTATATACTTGGTGAGGTGATAAGACTTAGCAATTCTCTTTTGCTTTCCTTAGTAAGAGATGCTAAAGCTGGGTGCTGGTGGATCACGCCTGTAATCCTAGCTGCTCAGGAGGCTGAGATCTGAGGATCAGAGTTCAAAGCCAGCCCAGGCAGGAAAGACCGTGAGACTTTTATCTCCAATTAACACTAGAAAACCGGAAGTGGCACTGTGGCTCAAGTGGTAGAGCGCTCGCCTTGAGCTGAAGAGTGCAGGGACAGTGCCCAAGCCAGAGTTCAAGCCCCATGACAGACCAAATAAAAAAAAGAGAGAGAGAGATACTATTAGGGGAAAAAAGAGAGAGAAATGCTATCTTATTTTGCCCATCATGTGCTCCTTCCTCCCCAGCCTCCATCCCCTACTCCAAGGGTGGGGAGTATTTACGACCTCCTGGCAGCCAGTCACAATGTTCCCTGCTTTGGAATGGACTGTATTGTGACAAGTCCCAGAAGGCAGCAGAACACACCGATCCTCCACATCCTCCCTGTACAGGTTCACCAACACACTCTGCCTTACCCCTGGGTTGAGAAACAGGTTGATGTGTTTATGCAGCAAAGCTTGATTCTGCTGGTTGCCCGCGCAGAAATTCTGTAAAAACTCGTGAGCCAGCCTCATTATCTCCTGCATCTTGGTGTCTTCGGCCTGTGCGGGAGGACAGAGATGAACAGCACTGATTGCTAGGTCAGGACAGGAGTTCCTGCTCCATGCCAACAGCTGCTAGCAGGGGATCTGGGCAGTGTGTACCAGGGATGCTGCGTGCAAACTCAGGTGCTAGAATGCACTGTCCAGCAATCGCTGACATTCACAGAGATGGCTGACAGCAAAACAGGGCCCTCCTCCTACCTGATGCAAGGCCTCACTCCCCAGTTTTCTGGCTCACCTTGTCAACGGCCCCGACCTACTGGAAAAGTCCTTTGATTATGAACCACAGCGAGTGCACCTGCCATCTCCTTTCCTTGTCACCTCAGGACTTATTTAAGCCAAAGATTTAGTTTTCCTATCAACATGACGGATATAATAGCTGTCCAGGAACTCCACACATGAAAACATGGGATTTTTGTTACAGAGATTAAAAGCATTTCATATATTAAACTTTTTCAGTATTGTGTGAAGAGTTAAACATCTTGTCACAAGGCAGCAGTATAAAACCTATGGCCACTCCGCCCAATTCTAAATATGCCAACATTTCAGATTGTAAAAACAGAGCGAGAAAGAACGCCCTGATTGCAGATGACCCACCTGGCCCTCCCGCTCACAAGGGTCGTAAGATACCTCCGTCCATGGCCTCAGCCGCAGGCAGCACAGGGGCAGGGAAGAAAGCGGCAGGGAGGAGCCATAGGTCCCCAGGCCTACTTTCCTCCCACGTGGACAACTTCCTAGCTGTGTGCCCGGGAACAACCATCCACTTCCCCATCTGTACACGGAGGTGATAAAGCACACATCTGACACGATTGCTATACCAGCTGAGAAAAATGGAATGCTTAGACAATGCTTATGGAGTACAGGCAAGCAATTGGTTCTGATCTAGACTGAGAGCAGTCAACTTCTTACCGGGTAAGAGTGTTTTAGGCTGGGTGTATCAAGAAATAAAAACAATAAATACATTCTTCAGGTACTAGTGTAACTATTTCAAAATGTAACAGCCATTCCCAGCTGGGTAAAAGCGAGCACTAAACTGGCTTTGGCTCCTATTTATAGTATGTGAGTCTCTGTGCATGTACATACACATCATCCTGCCCTTGAACTATCACTTCCAAACCCGTGTACATTAACACTGCTCAGTCAGAAAACTGACGACAGAACAAGACCAAGCTACGATCAGCAAGTATCTCCTCATTCTCTACTTTGGGTGACCTGTACACCATATTAACTGTAAGTTGGCTACATCCCTGACCTATTAGCAGGGTCAAGCTTGTGGCTGTCTGAAAGACCTGACTCACTCGAATCATATGTACCCCACAACTGAGGAGGAAGCTTCTTTGCATAGAACTCCTGAGATAAGAGGCACCAGGGTGGAGTAGGGTAGGACCCACTACCTATAGCTGTGTCACGAATCACCCTAGTCATGGTTTTCCACTGATGATGACATTACCACCTCAACTGCTCAGCTGTAAGTCAGCAGGATGACACGAGTTAAGGAGAAAAGGCAGAGCACCATGCCAACCACTAGCGAGTTTCTTCAGGAAATACTTTGGGACAAGTCAGCCTGAGTCTAACTAAGCCCATGGACTCCAAGCCTGTACTGGCCTCAGTCTCCTCATCTGTCAAGTGGCAGAACACAAAGCCTCCCTGGGTTTTGCCGCTTGACTGCATGCTTTCACCAGGCTTTGTCAGTTGACGCAGATGCCCGAGTAGACTGGCTCCTGCCCCCCTAAATACAATTTTTACCACCAACTACAGAGGACGGTGTGAAACATGAGAGGCAAAGTGTAACTTCTAGCAGCCCAAAAAGAGACCCTAAGCAAAGCGCCGCCTGATAGGTTCAAATACCCAGACATCAGTGTACTCATGTGGCCCTCGGGAATGCACAATCCGCACTTGCAGACACACTGAGTAACGTGTGGTTCTTAGCTTGGTCTTTAGGGCTGCCAAGGAAGTTACATAGCACTGCTATTTGCAGGTACAGCTCTGGCCTGTGATGCAGACCAAGCTGTCTTTTTTCTGGCAAGCTTGAGAGTGAGGAAGGAAAAATGGATTCCTCTTTGTGGAATCTTTAAATTGGTGTGTGTGTGTGCATGTGTGTGTCACACAAATTACCTGAATTGCTTTATGGCTACAACAGTTACGTCAGCTGTATGCCTCCCCCCTCAGTAACTAAGCATGACAGGCATGGGCTTTGAGCCCTGATGCTCCAGGGAGCCACCGCACACCTTCTCATAGGGGATCTGCAGCAGCTCTAACACCACGGCGTGTGCACCCATGTTCCGCAGCAGCCGCTGCTGCTGCTTTCTGCTCTTCCTCACTGAGGCGCTCTCTTGGACACAGAGTTTGCTAAGTCGAATCAGGATCTGGGGAAAAGAAATTGACCTCAGAAAAGTAGGAACTAGATAGCCGGGAAAGAGATCGCAGGGTAAGGATCATAAGACATTAAAGACTAAAACAAGGAAATTCCTCCAATATGCAGTATTGCTCTTGGTTGCAATAAATCAAATCCATGTTAGACGAACACTGCATTTTGCAAAATAAGCAGGAGATCATGCTTTGCCAACAAATGGGAGAAATTCATAGATCACTTAAAATCAAATGAGCTGAGCCAGGCACCAAATAGCTCAACATCTGTAATGCTACTCAGGAAGCTGAGATCTGAGGATCATAGGTTGAAGTCAGTGTGGAAAGGCAAGTCCAAGAGACTCATCTCCAATTAACCACCCCAAAAAAGCCAGAAGTGTGGCTGTAGCTCAAATGGTAGAGTGCCAAGCTGAACTAGAAAAGCTAAGGAACAGCACCCAGGCCCCAAATTAAAGTGCCAGTACCAACACACACACATACACACTTATATGAGTGGGCATCAATACTAACACCTGTAGATAGCCTTGCTGTAAGGTAAAAACACAGAAACACCAAGCTCTGCTGCGCATCTTCAAACTCCTTTTGCAAAGATTTCTAAAGTCAAGCATGGAGACAAAGCCTTGGCAATTCTATCAGTTAATCCTTCGTTCTACTGCAACGCTTTAGAAACAGGTGGTACCTATAAAAAGACTTCGCCTATAAAAGGGAGGAACTGAGGGTACACAAATTATTAAGTAGCGCAGCTGGGTTTCATGTTTGGACAAATGTAAGAACCCATGTCACACTCAAACTAAGAGCACTACTTTCTCCCTGTTCACTTTTACATGAAGAAAAAAGCTAAAGTGTTTGTGCCCTTCACTTGCCTAACCGCAAATTAAAGCCCTTAGAGAATCAGGAAGGAAGGACAACCGTGAGGGGAGCACTCACCTCTTTCACCACCCTGTAGTTGTAGCTGCTGGTGCTTTCGTGCTTCTGTGACTTGTTATTCCCCTCCTAGGGACCAAAATGGACACAGATGTGATTTGGACAACTCTTGGTCTACTATTGGATTGCTACGGTCAGTACCACCCTTGAAGAATAGGAGTTCTGCACTGGTTCCCAACCTTTGCGTTGGAAAACACTACTTATCCCAGGACATCTGCTTACACTCAGCTCCCCTGGCCTGGCCAGGCCATCGCCAGAGAACATCTCCCAGCGGCTGTGTGAGGAAACCTGGTGCTAATTCACTCCACAGCCAAGTCTCTTCTACGTGGTCCATGGCAGCCCAGAAACAGGGTTAGACTTTAAATTGGTAGTTTACTCTCCATGAGAATACCTGTCTCCCTCACTACTTCATAAGCAGTCTCGTAAGGGGGGAAAAAAAAACAGACGGAAAAAAAGAAACCTATCCAATAAACTGCACTTAATCTAACTAAACACTGAAAAGGAAGCTTGTTTCGAGACGCCTGTCCACCCCGGGGCAGCCTCGCTCGCGCGTTTGGCTCACCTCGGCTTTCTTGTGTTCGTTTTCACCAGAGGCACCCTCCATGGGCTCATCGGGGCCCTGACCTTTGTACACCCAGAGCTCCGACTTCTCCACAATGGACCGCAGCTGATCCAAGTCCTGTTTGATTTGTTTGTAGTTGTCCACGTCTTGGCTCGTAACCAGCAGTTGGACCTTAGTGAACACAATCCGTTAGCTGGAGGTCTTTAAGGAGTGCTAGCTGTTAGGTGCGAACTGCAGGGGTGTGAATGTGTCTAGCACGGGACCCACCTGTTTGAAGGCCTGGAGGACCTCCTGCCTCTGACTGAAGTGCCGAAAGAGGAGCTGCAGGGCCCCAGACACCAGGGGTGGGTAGTCGTGCATCGTCAAGTGCAGGAGGACGCGGAGGAAGGTTCTGCCACCGTGATCGTCCAAGTCCAGCGGGGTGTTCTCCTCACTGCCGGAGCACAGGGGAAAGGGATAGGACAGATGAATTGCAGATGTCTCATTAACTCACACACGGGCACACGGACACATGCGCACACACGTACGTACACACACACACACATGCTCACACACACCCACACACACAGGTCCTGCCATACCCAAGCTAGATTCTAACACTTTAGTCCATTTCATGAGACTTCACTTTTCATCAGCTCTTTTCACAGCCTCGATTTATCTTCAACTATATTGTGAGTGAAAGAGACAATTAAGAAGCTCTAATTGCCAAATTTTAAACAAACGTCCTTATACTCCTAAACTGACAAAACTGGTATTACAATCTGGTACTCAACACCTAGACTCTAGTAAAGACTACAGTGTTCTCCTTCAGAGAAATGAAAATGGATGTGATTTCCTATTTAATTGTGTACTGAAGACACTGTAAATTCAATGTTCATCCATAGAGATAAGACTTTTAATTGCTAACTGTTAGAGATCTCAGTTTATGGTAAACTCACTGATCAGACACTGGGCTGAGTGGCAATGCAAAATGGCCACACACCTGCCCAGGTAAGGTGGCACACACCTTCAATCCCAGCTACTTAGGAGTGGAGACAAGGAGGGTCACAGTTCAAGAATAGGTCAAGCAAAAAATCAAAAGTGTGTGAGAGTCAATCTTAACCAATAAAAAGCTAGGCAGAGTGGTTTTAGAGAAAATTATAGAGAAGGATAAGACAGCCCAGATAAAAAGTGAGACTCTATTAGGAAAAAAAAAAAACAACTAAAGCAAAAGGGCTGGGGGTATTATCTAAAGTGGTAATGCTTGCTTGGCAAGCAAACAGGCCTGAGTTCAAACCCTATACTACACACCTACACACACACACACACACACACACACACACACACACACACTTATCAAAAACTGCCAATTCCTATTTCATATGTTTTGTATTAACCGCAGAGATGAATTGTTAACATGAATGGTCCCAACAAATTGGGCCTTTGCATCGTTCCCCTCATGAAGAACTGCTTTGGCCAACAGCACATTGGTAAAGACAATGCAAGCAGGGCGTAACTACTGCTTGCACCCTTGTGACTTGTCATTTTGGAGCATCTGCTTTTAGAATTAAGTCACCAGGCTGCAAAGAAGCTAAGCTATCTATGAGGGCAGAGGGTAATGAGATTCAAACCTTGCAAACATCCTACACAGGTGCCAGAAAGGGGGGTAAAACAACTTGGATGTGTGAATGAACTCCAGAAACAACCTCATGAGACCTGCACAACTAACACAAAACCAGAAGAACCATCTGGCTTAGCCCTACTCAACCCTGGGAGTGTGAGAGGAAATCAATGCTTTCAGCTTCAATTTCTTGACTTTCTTTGGGCGGAAGATAGAGTAGATAATCAAGCCAAGCACATTAATTATAAGCACTATAGAGTAGTCATACCAAGTTTTATGTTTATAGGTACTGGAGTTCACAATAATCATAATAATGATAGTATAAGTTAAAGTTGAGGACTGTGACATTTTAAAGAGGGGTGCCTACTAGGAAGGACAAACAAAAAGAAAACTGTGTTTTCTTCTTTTCATAGCTTGTAAAGAGTGCAGGGATAAAGGATAAACTGCAGCCTACCAGGTAAGAAGGGTAAGATGCTACTTAACTGGGTTTTTTTGCCTCCTGCCTCCCATTTCTTTCTTTTGTCCCTATTTCCTCACTACTTAAAAAATAACCTTGTAATCCTGAGCTACATCTTTCAATCCTTCCTGATCTGGGCAGGAAATACACACACACACGCACGCACGCACGCACGCACCACATTCAGCCATCGGAGACAAGCCCCAAAGTCCGCTCCAAAGAAGGCAGCCACACCACCTGAGCCCCCGAGCTGAAGAGTTGCTAATAAGGTCAAGGAGAAGCCTTAGAAAATTCTAGAAGAGCCACTCCTACATCACAGAACCCCTTACAAAACAGTGACTGAAAGTAAACTTTCCTCCCTCCAAAGATGCCTTCCGCTTGTTCTTCAATGTGTTCAAAGTCTAGAGCACCTGAAAAGTGAGAGAACATAGCTTTAATACGGCAAGGCCTGAAAACAAGCCGTGGTGAATGCGCTCCAAGTCTTGTCAGGGCGAAGCTGCGGGGCTAGCCCCAAGTCCTCCAGAACCACACACAGCAAGGCTCCAGGCCTGCGTAGCCAGGTGATGCCATTCCATGTCCCACCCTCCCACCATTTTTCCCCTTCCTAAAGACAGTGACAACTTCGTTCGGACGAAGTCTGGGGCTCTGTAGAGGGGTTAATTCTACCATTACCCTTCCTCTTGCCCTTCTCCACTATTTTCTAGGGAGGAAGAAACTTCCAGCATGAGTAAAAAGTTGCTCATGGACAATGAAGTCTCCTGGAGAGTCTTTGTCATTTTGCTTGTTTTCATGGGGACTTTGTGGGTAACCACAATACTAGAAACCTCGGCCGTTTAAGTATCCAAGACATGAGGCAGTAAGATCTCTCCTGGCAGCAATCTACAATTGTCCCAATCTTCTCCTGCCCCAAGTCTCAAGATCCTGTCCTTAAAATACAGTAACCCAGCAGTGGTACTCACTAGACACTATGTTGAAAATGAACTATACAATTTGTGGGTGGGAACGGGAGGCAAAAACTAAGATAGTGATGGAAGAGCCATACTATCCAAAAAGAAATGTACTCATTACCTGACTTATGTACCTGTAACCCCTCTATCATCACCTTTATAATAACTCTTAAAAAATTAAGAAAAATAAAATACAATTATCCTCAAAACATATTCACTAGCTGGGCACCGATGGCTCATGCCTGCAATTCTAGCTACTCAGGAGGCTGAGATCTGAGGATCACAGTTCAAAGCCATCCCAGGCAGGAAAGTCCGTGAGACTCTTATCTTCCAGAAAATGGGAAGTGGAACTGTGGCTCAAGTTGTATTTACCTTGAGCTGAAGAGCTCAAGGATAGTGCCCAGGCCCAGAGTTCAAGCCCCATGGCCAACAAAAAAACAAAACAAAACACAAAACTCATTCACCTTTTACTATTTTCAGGTGGAGAGCCTCGTTTCCTGCCGAAGGCCATTTGGGTATTTATAACATCACTAGGAACCACACAGCATTATCAACACAAGTAGCCAGGCAGTGGGCAGCCAATGAGAAGTTTATGTGCCTGTCCCGTCATGTGCCAAATGGTTTTGCAGGTCACAGAAGGCTCATGGGCAGTCGGATGCTTCACACCCCTGGAAGGCTATTTGGGTTCCCCAGTTTTCTTTATACCCAGGCCCCACTCCATGACTGCAATTCCATTCTGCACTCACTAACCTGGTACACTACTTGGCCCTTCTTGGCTGCTATTTCCGGAGGACGTTTCTGAAGTCTGGGAATTGCTTTCATCAAACTCTCGTTTAAATATACACAGGAGGCAGGAGATCCTATAATCCAATCTCACATTCAAAATAAACTGAAGATTCAAGTGGAAATGGAAACAGATTGGTTACATTAACATACCACCTTTGACGCTTTGCCAAACCAAGCCACTGCACTCTGGTGAGGCCTGGTATCAGCTGCATCAATTACATTAAGCACCAACTGAGCCAAATATTTGGCTTAGATTTCAACAGTCATTTTAATGCCAGCAGACTTCCGTGGGGGCCTATCAAGCCAGCCCACAGCACCTTCAGCTCTAGTGTCAACTTCAGTAGTTTGCCAATTAACAATGGGAATAGGGCATTACTCGCTCTCTGTCCCACCCTCCAAGAAATAAAACTTCATTTCAGCAAGGATTAAATGCCTACACGTACCCAACACAAGTTGGCTCAAGGAATGAAGCTGACTGCTTTAAATTTAGACCTGACAAAAAGAAATTTAGTTTACAACTGTGAATGAGCTTGGTTTAATGTTTTCAATATGCTTCTTGCTGTCTGTTCTGATTTAGGCACGGCCCTGGGCTTCTGATTCTTTCCTTCTATAGTCCAGCCGAGTCACTATCCCTACCAGCGTTACCAGGGCCACAGACACAGCAACCAGATGGCACCATTTAAGGACCCTCTCTCCCTTCCTCCCTTCTTCTCTTTTCTTTCCCTTCCTTCCTTCCTTCCTTCCTTCTTCTCTCCTTGCTTCACTTTTTCCAGACTAGAACACATGGCTGACCTGACTATTGAATCTATGGTTTCTTCCCAAGTCTCAAAATCAGCACTATGCAGAATGGTGATGGCTACATCTAGGTGTCAACTTGAAAGGGTTAAAGGAGTCCGAGATGGCAAGCAGAGTGAATGCTTATAGCACTTTTTGGTGAACTGGCTGTAAAGATACCTAGAGGAGTGGGAAGTTGGGTAGGAAACCACTGCTGAGGGTTCATTTTTGCCATATGTCTCTGTGAGGTCACAGCATTTTTGCATGGAAAATAGAACCAATTGTGTAAAGAAATAGGACAGAGAATAATCCTAAGAGAGTCAAGTTCTTGTGTTGTCTGGTGGGGAGCCGGAGACTATGGGGAAGGTTTCCGCTAGGTGGTGCTCTTCTCCTTCTGCTCTAGGTGATTTATTTCTTAGCAAAGTTCTCTGCACCTCAGTGGAAAGATTCTTCCATGCTACATTGTAGGTTTTGTCCAGCAATTTCTGCTTTAACTGGTCTAACGTGCAAAAGTATTATATTCATTTTCTCCCATTCCCTTTGAACCCACACTGTTTCCAACCTTGCCCCCAAATCTAACTCTGCATTTGCTGTCCCTCTAACCTGAGACTCTTCTGGAAATCAACATAGCCAGCTCCTTATTCATTTAAGTCTCTGATCATGTCACCTTATACAAGAGGCCTTTGCTAATAAACCTTCCCCCAGTCAGGAAGCATTATCTCGGCCTTCCTGCCCCTGAACCATCCTGACACTTTAGATTTTAACAGCTCTTACCATTGCTCTTTAAAACGCCCGGCCTCCCATCCCTACAACTTTCTCTACTGCTGGCTCCTCAGGGCTTACAGGGACTTGTGACCACATGACCTCCAGAAGTGATGAATGAAAGGGGGGAGGGGCAGACTTTGCAAAGCCAATGGAACCTGAACTGAGCGAGGAACTACAGACATGGGATTCAGCTCCCCTGGAGAACACGGCGAGTGAATTCAAAGCAAAGACGACAGCAAGGACCGAGGCAGGGAGGGCAATGAGGATGGAAAGCTCAGGTAACTACAGGAAGCTCTGGTGTAGAAGAAGGGGCAAGGCCTCCTTAGGAAGGCGCAGGAGTTGACAGCAAAGGGATTAAGATAAGGCAGTTCATAAATGAAAGGAAGAGATGAGCCAAAACCTTTGCTACGATTTTCTTCCCCAGAAAGCTTTGCTCTCTCTCAGAGAGGACAGAAGGGAGGTGACCAGTGCGGCATGAGTGCCCGCCTCGCCCCGGCCCCTACCTGGAGAATTTCAATGATCTTCAGCTTGGTGTCCATGACCATGATGTCCTCTTTCTCGGGCTCCGCCTGCTTCACATTGCCTTCAGGGGCGGCAGCCATGGGAGTCATAGGCAAAAAGCCTCCTCCCCGGAGCACCACCTGCGTCATCAGCTCGCCGACACCGTGAATAGACCTCATCACGTTGCTGCCTGGAAGGGCACAGCACAGACACAGGTCAGACCCTCTTGAGAGTGCTCAGAGCATCGAGGTCAAGACAACATTTAACACTTCCCCATTCTGTTAACACGCTCAGACCCAAGGAACCAGAAAAGGTCACACCCATTAAAGCTTTCAGGCTTGTGAAGGGAGCAGAAACAATATGGGTTTTTGACTATCCCAAAGGAATTATTTTGTGTATTAATTCACCTGCTAAGTTTTAATGGCTACCAATCATTGCTTGATATTATGCACAGGAATAAGGATTAGAAGGGTTGATAAGGCACAGATTCTGGTACTGCTACTGACAGCTGCCTGTTCTTAGGTACACTAAATTACCTTCAAGGCTCGGCCTCGTCACAAAAAGCACCTCCAGGACTGCATTCACTGGCATAATACACTCAAAATGGCGTAACACAGGACTTCACAAATAGTGAGAGGTGAAAAATACCTTTTTTTTCTATTCTAGCTGCACAGCACAAATTAAAGAACAACAGATACCTATCTACTAGGCGCTTACTACTCTGACTCAAACCATCAGGGGAAATAAGCATATAAAGATAGGTTTTCTTCTCACAAAGTAAAACCAGATACCAAAATATAAGCCTGAGCCTTATTTTACTTTATACATTATAAAGCACATTATTATCAAGACTTTTTATCAACATCAGACACAGTGACATTTTTTTTTTTGGTCTTTTCTTTTTTGGTACTGGGGATCAAACCCAGGACGTTGAACTTGCTAGGCAAGTGCTTTGCCACTGAGTTACATCCCAGCCCAACAATGACATTTTTAAAAAGAAGATAAACACTCAAACTGTTAGGTAACTTTCAAATGACTCAATAACAATATACACACAGACCCACAGACAAGGGGAAAGACAGCCAAGTGCTAATGATCATGGACGCTATGTCATGAGTATTGTGAGTCTATGGAGTTGTGTGTTCAGCTTTTCTTTCTGTCTGATGCATTCATAATGAAGAGGTGGGAAGGAAAGGCAAGGACAAGACAGGATATCACATGGCGGATAGGACACGAGAGTTAACGAGAAAGGCTAGGAGGGCGTCTCTCTACCATCAGATACTCACTCTTGAGCTTCTCCTCATCATTGTTACCTTTATTCTCTTCTCCTTTCACAATCTTGGTAATGGGGAAGATTGTTGTCACATGCACACAATCTAATATGGCCAGGAGGATCTTGGTTAACCGTAGGAGGTCAGAGAAGTTGTAGAAACCAAAGTATATGAGATTCCTGGCTAAGTTTACAACCTGTTGTGTTTTACAAAGAAGACGGTATTAAGTCATCTGCATTCCTCTGTCTGACCTGACATTGACGAGATAATAAAACAACAGATGGTGACTTCCTATAGAGCAGGGAAAGGCATAGATGCAGCTTGCCATTTCTGATACAAATTTCATTTTGTTTCAGGGGAAGAAAAAAAATTGAGACATAAAAGCCGGCAAAGCTACCATCTGCTCTTGTGACCAGTTAATAAAAACTTGACCTAAACACTTAACAGGCACAGCTTCCCACGGAGAACACTGGGTGACCCCAATAATACCTAACAAGGGCACACGCAGATAAACAACACTGCAACCCTCAGGAATATAATTCCTAAAAGGAGGCCAATGTGGCCTCAGAAACATTCAACCCAGAGGTGGTAAGGACTGACAGTCCTCAAATGATTCATATGTGGCAGATCCCAAGCACAATCTGTTTCTCTCCTGTCACTTTTAATAACAGAGCATACATAATATTTTATCATTTCCCATGATTCAGTCCACCCTGTGTATTTTCTTTTATGAGCCTAACTGCTCCTAAGCCAAGCGTCTGGTAGCAGTGCTATTTTATTCTGAGCTCAATTCTTAGTTCAGTATAAAACTAGAGCCTCCTGATAAAAATCCACCCACCAAAAATACTTCCTCTTAACCACACAGAAAAAATGACCACAGGAAAGCAGACAAAACACCCGGATCTATCATCATGCGTTACCTCGAACGTGAGCTTATTTTTCTCCTTATCAGAAAAAGGGAACCTCTGACAAACCACGTCTCTCAAATACTCCTCCACAAACTCCATGGTTTGCGCAAACCTCTCCTTAATCTCATCTTTGGATGCTCCGCTACTGTCGTAGCTGAAAGGAGAGGGACAGGGAAACAGAACATCAGGTTCTTCTCAGTGATGCTGTGCCAGGGCACGGAGTCTCAGAAGTAGACAATGCCATAGCTGCATGCTACTTCGTTTTCCCTTCCTAATGTGTACATATACATCTTAGTCATTTATCTTCTTTATCAAATTGCCTGTCTCCACCACCCTCCCGCCTAATGATTAGCAGGGAAATGGTTTTTCTAGCCTGTTCACTCATATTTCTCCATGTTGGCACAAGAAAAACTCAAATATGTGTAGAATTGTTAAAAAAAATCAGGAAGAAAAAAATGCAATGATGCCAACTCTTAGTTTCTTGAGGCATGAAATACTTGCCAACCACGTATTTTAAGCTTAAAGAAAAAGAAAAGCTTTATCATTGTTGTATGATTTCACAAGACCATGGATGGTTTACCTACTGCCTTACAGAACAGTGTAAATGCGAAGCTTTAAAGTGTCATGAGGTAGTGACAGGGAGCAGTCGGCTTACTCATCAATGGCGATCTCGGAGGGGATCTCCGACCAGAGGCGGGCATATTTCACAGGGGTGACCTGTTCCTGGGGGTCTCGGTCCACATGCATGTGAAGCATGAGGCGGCAGAAGGAAGCCCTCAGGTCATAGGGCAGGTTCTCATCGGACATGCAGCGAAGGATGAGATCCACATCCAGCTGGCCTGAGATTTCATTGATGGCCAGGTACTGGCGGTCCAGGCACATCCTCGCAAAGAGGTTCAGCTGATACCTGGGAAAGGAAAAGCGATCGTAGTCAAGTTCTCACTCCAGAAATCATTCAGGATGTGCGGAGTGTGCATGGTGGTCCAGGAGGCACCAGCTTTTCCAGTAGTGATGTTTGGCCATCTGAACCTGCACAGCACCACCATTTTTTTTTTTTTTTTTTTAAAGTCAGTCATGGCTTGAACTCTGGGCCTGGGCGCTGTCCCTCAGCTCTTCAGTTCAAGGCGAGCGCTCTACCACTTGAGTCACAACGCCACTTCCAGTTTTCTGGTGGTTAATTGGAGATAAGAGTCTCACAGACTTTCCTGCCTGGGCTGGCTCTGAACAGCGATCCTCAGATCACAGCCTCCTGAATAGCTAGGATTACAGGCATGAGCCACCGGCTCCTGGCCTAGCAACAAATCTTGTATAACTTATTTTAGCTTTTATACTAAATACATGCAAACAGGGCTAGAGGAAACATTGTGTCTGCTGTAGAGAAAAGTGGACAGACAACAGTCACACGTGTGTCCAGCTGTGTTAGAGCAATTATGTCCTTTCTATTCCAATTTCCCTTGTTTATCTTACAAAATAGGAAGAAAAATAGTTAAGACCTTACATTGATATCTAGTTCTATCTCTTCGGCGGTACTTTAAAGAGTGTAGGGCACTATTTGTATAAAGATTTAAGAATACAAAATATATATGCTTTATGACTGAATAGACATGGGACAGAATAGAAAAACACAAGAAAACTGCAAGGATGAACACCATCTGTAGGAATATCAGGTAAGAGACCAAAATACAGAAGGCAAGACATTTTTAACTGCAAACTTGTGTTCATTTTATTTAAAAAGGCTAGAAACAGTGATTTTACTGCCCTTTACTGCCCTACAATCTAAGGGTTCACATTGCTCTTTCCTTTTCTATCCTTTCCCTTCGGGGGAAGAAGGAATAGGTCTTAGACCTGGGGTCAGGAAGATACTGGGGATGGAGGAGATTACTGGGAGAGGCAGACTGGTGACACATGGTGGGCCCAAGTCAACAACTGAACGCCCTGGGTACGAGGCAGCTGGGGGAAGTTACACCGTGTGTGGAAGCCAGGGGAAAAAACATCCTTCAGTGTTGAAATAAAGTCGCAAGGAGAGGCTGAGCACTGCCCGGCGGAAATGCTCGGGACCAAAGTTAGAGAATTTTTGAATATTTGCATAGTCCACCACTCAGGAATCCTTGTTCTAAAAATTCCAAATGTTCTAAATTCAGAAACAGTTTGAGCGCTGAGTCAGGGCTCAAGTGTCTTGGGTTTCAATTTCAGACTTTCGGATTAGGGTTGTTTCACCCGTATCAAGTATACGTTGTATGAATGTATGTACCAATTGTATGGATGTATGTACAAACGGAAAAAAACAAAAACAGGTTAACAAAACAGAAATAGGCATGTACCAGCAGACACTGTCTAGCTCTGACTGTAAATGTTATAGAAGACTGGTGTTTTCACCTCTATTTTGCAACTAAGGAAGCTGGAATGTAAAATCAAACTTGACCAAAGTCAAAACTTCATAAAGAAAAAGGTCAGGATTTGAACCCACACAGTGTGAAACTAACAGTCTGACTTGTGTGTATGTGTGCGTACATGTGTGCACACACATGCAAATCCAGGGACTTGATTCAAGAGCCTGAATACTGTCCCTGAACTTTTTTTTTTTTTTTTAGTCAGTCACTGGGGCTTGAAGTCAGGGCTAGGCACTGTCCCTGAACTCCTTCATTCAAGGCTAGCACTCTATTACTTGGAGCCATGACACCACTTCTGGTTTTCTGGTGGTTAATTGGAGATAAGAGTGTCACAGACCTGGACTTTCCCACCCAAGCTGGCTTCAAACTGTGATCAGATCTCAGCATCCTGAGTAATTAGAACAACGTGTATGAGCCACTGGTGCTCAGCTGGCAGTGTGACTCTTAACCATCTGAGTATGTATGAAGCAGCGCTACCTGGGGCTGCTGCAGACCCTCCTTCTTTCATGACGCAGATACACCCAGATATCAGTGGGCTAAGAATCAGTGGAATTTTATATTCTAAACTCACACAACACATCTTTTTTTGTTGTTGTTAGAATCTTATCAAATGGCGCCATGGGATTCCTTATAAAGACCCACAACGAATCAGGTATATTCCGGAGGGCCAGCCTGTGGGGCAGGCCTCTCGCTCACCTGTAGTAGCTGAGAACATCTCGGTCTTCTTTTTGTCCTTCTTTAGCATCCTGGGCCAATTCCCTGACGCTCTTGCTACGAATTTCTTTGTCGCTGTCCCTCCAAAATAGCCACACCTCTTCCTCATCTTCTCCAGCCTCCAGAGCATTTTCTCCGGTTGAAACACCTTCAAATTCAAAACGAGAAAGAACCAACCTAGAGAGGACGAGGAGAGAGAACGCAGCTTTTGAGATCCTCTGAAATCTAGCTTCCCCGAAGACAGGATAGAGGCACATGGTCTAATCCTAGCAGCCTGGAAATGGAGGCAAGAGGATCGCAAGTTTGAGGCCCGCTTGAGCTACCAAGTAAGAAGGCCCATCCCCTTAAACAAACCCACAAACAAAAGACCAAGAAATGTAGCTTCCCTTTCAGAAACACAGGGCTTAGGTTTTATCACCTGCAAGCACCAACATCACTGAACACTACATCTTCCACCTACAGCCTTTCTTCACCATGGCTTCCTCTCCCCCGCCCCAGGCCCACTCACTGGGTAAACCCCTTCCTCGCTGCCAGCCTCCTCTTGTTCCCAGGCCCACTCACTTGGTCTCAATGAGGATGTCCGCATTGGTGGGATTCAGCACGGCTTTACAGATCAGCTCCTGTGTCACTGGAATTGACTTGTTCATGGACACACAGAGGTCGGAGAGGTAATCTAAGAACCTACCAGAGAGGGGAAGGGAACCAGGTATCTTCAGTAGAGCAAGCAGAGAGAGGTCTGACTCTTCCCCACGCAGACAGGCCCATACTCTTGGGTGACACAGGTCAGGTACACTGTAGGCTTTGATGCCAGGGTCCAGAGAGGCACAGAGTGAAGTTGGCAGTGATGGCAGATGAAGAGGTGACAGGACCAAAACCAAGAGGGAACGGCAGGGCAGGGAAGGTCAAAGAGGAAGACATGGTAGAGATGGGGCCTCCGTGAGCGCGCAGGGCCAGGCTGGAGCTAGATGTGTTCGATGGGAATGTTACTTGGATCTGTGCTCCAGTTTCTCATACACAGAAAAGAGCCAGCGTGATTTCTGAGGACCAGCCCGGGGGATCTGCTGAGATGACTGATTCCTCGGCTCATCACCTGGCGCGGGAGCAGTCCAGGAAAGGCCACTTATTCTGGCAGCAGCAGTCATTGCTGCAGCAGCCCTATCAGCTCTCCCGGGACACTGTGCTACAAACAGCTTCCCACACCACCTGAAGTGCTTTGGCCATTAAAGAGAAGAGGAGAAGAGGGAGATGCATGGAGGGCATGAAGGTGGGGGGCGAGGGGGCAGGAAGAGATGAGGTACATAGAATTTACTAGCTCAAGATCAAACCCTCAAGTGACAACTTGGTCTGCTAAAGACTCTTAATGATGACATCAGGGAACACATTCTAGAAAGCGAGTGAGTGAAGGAATGAATAAATGCCCACAGCAGTTGTCATTTCCTGGGCACATGTGTGTGCCAGGCACTTCACAGAGGTTTATTATTGTCAAGTGGCTGACCATGTTCAGCAGAGGGGAGGAGCCGTGTTCCTAGACTGTCTTTTTGCCTCTACTCATCAAAGAGCTATATGAGGCCTGCTAATCAAAGTCTGCCACACACTGCAGCCCCAAGGCCAGTGAGCCTACTGGAAAGTGCCAGGATCAGCTAAGTTACTAAGTCTTTTTGTGTGTGTGTATTTTTTTTTTTTGCCAGTCCTGGGACTTGAACTCAGGGCCTGGGCACTGTCCCTGAGCTTCTTTTGCTCAAGGCCAGCACTCTACCCTCTACCACTTGAGCCACAGCATCACTTCCCGCTTTTTCTGTGCAGGTGGTACTGAGGAATTGAACCCAGGGCTTCATGCATGCTAGGCAGGCATTCTACCACTAAGCCAAATTCCCAGTCCTACTATATCTTTTTTGTTGGCAGTGGTTGTGGAAGCTTGAACTCTGGGCCTGGGTGCTGTCCCTGAGCTCTTCAGCTCAAGGCAAGCACTCGACCACTTGAGCCACAGCGGCACTTCTGGTTTTCTGGTGGTTCATTGGAGATAAGAGTCTCAGGGACTTTCCTGCCCAGACTGGCTTTGAACCGTGATTCTCCAATCTCAGCCTCCTGAGTAGCTAGGCTGACAGGTGTGAGCCACCGGCGCCCAGCAAGTTGCTGCGTCTTACTGCCATCGGCCCCAGGGGCACCTCACCTGGGCTCCCTGTTCTTTCGCACGAGACTAACGAAAGTATCAATCTCTGCGGCGGTGATGTGCTTTTCCAGGAGTTTCCGGTTGTTGTGGAGCAGGGCCGTGATAGTGTCTTCTGCCAGCACATCATAGCCAATCTGCTTCTGCATGAAGCCAAACTGCTTGGCTATGTACTCCTGCAAGGTAGAGCAAAGTCACCAGGGAAGACAAGAAGACAGCACAGCCTTGTTAGCTACCGGAAAGCACAGCATCCCCAAGGAGGCCTAGAGCTCCACGGGGCAAGTGACCGTTGTCTATCTCTCTCTAGGACAAGGCTGGCATGCAACCTCACAGCCTGCCACCAAAATGTGATTAAGCAATGATCCAGATGTGTGCGTGGGGATATTTTAAGCATACAGGACAAATTCTAATCTAGATGACTTATGTTTTTGAAAAGGTCAGAAGCTATTATGAAGCTATTTCGAAGAGGATTTATTAATTGTACCTCCTCCACTGCTCTGCTGAATACACAGAGATCAAACCTACCTGGACATTCAGAATAATGTAAACTTGTTTTGCTTTCTTTTTCTGGGGCAAAAATTCATCTTTAAAATCAGTGAGTAACAGAAAAAATCAGGAACACCTAAGACAATCCACCAAACTTAATGGAGTATGTGAACTAATCTCAGGCTTCCCTCTTTTAGAATCAGACATCACATTCCCACAAAATTAATTTTTAACTCAAGGAAACCTCTTATGAATTGTTGATTTCTATTCAAAGATCGTTCTCTGGCTAGGGATGTAGTTCAGTAGTCCAGCACTTGTGAGTATATCTAAGGTTCCATGTTCAAAAAAAATGACGATAAAAACAAACAAAAAAACTACAAGAACAAAAAGCAAAACCAAAGGTATTTTCTTGCCCAAGAAAGAATGACAGTTTGCTTGCTCCGTGAAAGCAAGGACTTGATTCAAACATTAGTACGAGGAGGTAGAAAAGGAAAATGTAATGTAATACCAATTTTGAAAATAAAAAAGGTGGCTGCGGTAATGGGAGAATTCTTAGTCTTTACTTTTCTTACTGGCCCTTAAGATTTGTGTATGCGAGTTTCTCTCGTTATCTTCCTTACGGGTTGTCTAGTATGTATTCCTCCCAGGCTTGCACGCCAGCGTGCGATTCCTTCTCAGGAGCACACTCAACCTTGCGCTGTTCATTTGACACTGAGAGCTGAGGAGCAAAGCTCGTGAACTTCCTGTCCACTCTGATACACACCTGGTTCTTCCTGTAGTCTTGCTGTGAGTGCCTCAGGACTCTGTAGCAGAGGCGACAGATATGTCTGAAGGGAGCATGCCGCTGGTCCCCCAGCTCCTCCAGCCGCAGCATGGGGCCGTCCCCACAGTCTGTGAAGGGGGCCTGCAGCAACTTGAAGATCTGTGAGAACAGCAAGACTGCCATCAAGGGGGGCTCTTGCAGGCTCAGCCGCCATCAGGAGCAAAGACCACCACACAGGTGGCTGGAGTCCACCGGAAATTATCACTATCAAAACACAGTACTGGCATGAACCTGCTTTCAGTCAGTTGGGTGGGCCTGGGTCCCTGCCGATCCCACCCATGTGGACCTAAATGGTCCCCAGAATGGTGCTCAGCACCAAGTAAGAGCAGACAGGATGGAACGGATGCCAGCATGGAACCACAGCCCTGAACCTCTTCCACCAGGGAGGAAAAGCGTGCAGTGTGCATCAGAGGCCTTTAGCTCAAAGTAGGAAACCTCTGTTAAGCTGGGTCTTCAGATTTGCCCACTGTGGGATTTCTGAGCTGAGTACGTGCACATCCTTGCCAGGTACATGCTGACCTTGCAAACTGCTGACCAGCTCCTTCCTGACGGTTTGGAAACATTCCCCCATGCTTCCTGAGACTCTGTTGAACCCTTTCCTGCAGATCAGCTGTCCTGGGCCATTGTAAGCATAATTCCCAACACCTATAACTGGCAAATACCTCTGCAGTTTAAGCTACAAAAAAAGCCACACGAAGAGCCTCAAGCTTTACATTTGAGAGTGTACAACCTCAGTGCGCTTTCTCAAGACTGCTAGATTTTGGTGTCTCCTGGACTATAATCCTATTAAGATTAAAAAAATGTAATCCTTCTTAGTATAGATTATGGCCAAAGTTAATTTCAGTGTAATTACCACTAAAATACAAAGAATATTATTTATATCAAAGATATTGTAAGGATGAAAGCAGGTAATAATTGTAACCAAGTTGCATGTGTACAGTACCCGAAGAAAGTGATCAGGGAAGGTGCTCACACTGAGTCATGGAACTCCAGCCCTGAAAGTGACTGCTCTTGTAGGAATGGGCCCAGACATTAAGGTCGAGCCCTAATTTGGACTCAATGCATGAAACAGCTGGACACAATTTATTCTTGGCCTTAAAACCTTGTTGAAACATGAATTTTGAATATCATAGGCTAACAGGAAATAGGAGTCACAAATGCCAACTTCCCATGGAGAATGTAGGCCTTGTTTCTTTTAACATTGGCAGAGCCAAGAATTTTTTGTTGTTGTTGTTGTTGTTTGGTCAGTCGTGGGGGCTGAACTCTGGGCCTGGGCGCTGTCCCTCCGTTCTTCAGCTCAAGGCTAGCGCCCTACACAGCGCCACTTCCGGCTTTTTTCTGCTTATCTGGTGCTGAGGAATTGATCCCAGGGCCTCATGCATGCGAGGCAAGTACTCTACCACTGAGCCAACTTTCCAAGCCAAGAATTTTTAAAGGCAAGAACTGTAGCTAAATCTCTTAACAGCTACAGAGAACTGTATGGTTTTTTATTCCTTGATTTACGACACATGATTTTGACCAAGTGTGGTAAAAAATAAAATAAAATACATTTTATCAATAGCTGTATTTATATGGTTCTGTGATCTCCTGCCCTTAACTGTGAAAATGTGCTTCTCAAAAGACAAAACTGTGATACAAGTTATGGTAATCTTCCCAAACTAAAAAGGGCTGTTTGTGAAGTGCTTATGTGGTTCAAGTGCAAACTTTAACTTTGTTGAATAGTGTCATGTCTTTAGCAGGAGTTGAGTGATGTTATGGGAGGGAAAAATGAATAAGCACAGTGCTGAACGCAATAAATCCTGGACATTCTGGGTTTTCCTCAGCAGTGGTCTCTGCAGAAGTACGGACTGTCAGATGGCAAGGGTCTACTGGATGCATTTCTGCGTGCTTCCTCTGCCCTGGGCCTGTCACTGTGTGCCTCTTTATACCTGTTTGAGTTGGAGCTGGGATAGTTTGGATCTTCAATGTGCCTCCAACGCTCCTGTGTGAAAAGCTTGGTCCTCAATACAGCAGCATCTTGAGGGGGGAGGGAGTGGCTCGTGAGAGCTCTGACCTGACGAATGGACTCCTTCACTGCTGGATTCAGAACTTCCTTGTTATAAAAACAAGTTCTGTTGTCTGCTTCCTGGCCAACATGAAGGGAGTGGTTCTGTCCACCACAAGCTCCTTGTCATGATATACACTCACCAAAACCCAACTGCGTGTCCCAGACCAAGAGCAGACAAGGACTTCAGGTTATGCTAATCTGTCCACCCCGACTCACTGATGTAGCATCTGTTCTGCTACAGTCCAGGATTTTGACAGTAGAAAAGAAGGAAGGGAACTGTCTGTACTTAACCTTTGATTCTGCTGTGAACTTACAACTCTGAAAAGAGAAGTTCCATTCCTAAACACCATTGTCAAGGCTTCCGTGTGGAGGGCTTGTATACCTTGCGCAGCTGTGATTTCTTGGATTCCCCACCCCGCAGTCCACCCCCACCACATCATGTCTTACCCACCTGTTTGAGAATGTTCTGCTCCCTCATCAGCTTCTGCCGTTCTCTGTTGGGCTTGGAGAAGACAACTTCAAGCACGTCCTGGCCAGAGTTAGTTCCACCAGTGACAAAGTAAACCAAGTCCTCCAGCAACTTCGTTACAGACCTTAGGAGGAAAAAAGAGACAGTATTAGAGACAGTATTCAATGTTCAACATACTGGAAGCCTTCAGGCCTGGAAGCCTTCAGACCAACCAAGGAAGCAGGACATGATCCACTCTTTCCAGTTTCCTAAAAATCCACAACTAAGGCCAAGTACTACAAAGATGGAAACACTTCACACAGGATTTTCCATCCAGGACGATCTCTCCCCACAACATATCAAGTATTCCCAGAGTATCTCTAACTCCTAACATTTACTAAAGTAATTCCAGAACTGTATGAGACACAGGAAGGGAAATATTCAATGTCTGGACAGCTCCCATGGAAGACACCGTGAGTGCTCAGACCCACTACCTCACAGAGTGCTGTGGAGCTGTGCTCTCATGTGCTCCCGGCAACGCATTGCCCAAATGCATAGATGAAGAGCTCTGGGGGACGGTGGGGGCAGGGGACACATGCAGGGGGCTCTCACCGTCTTTCATTCTGGGTGATGGTGCCCTTCTCCAGCTTCCCGGCAATGGAGCCCAGCACCTTGCTGGCATCATTGGCAAAGTCCAGGTCCCGAACTTCAGCGGGAGACACAGGAACAATGGCAAAGGCCTCCTTATCCTCCTTCACGGGAGAGGTGCCGATCTGAAATTCAAGTGGTCTTTTAGGACAAGCTTGGAGGGATGGTGTGAGACATGCATAATTACTGACTCTGTTTACAGGTTATGGGACATGGAGCTCTCTTGGAGTCAGAGACCAACAATGGAGGGGGGGGGTACAGTTAAGGAAAAAAAAAACTCGCCGGGTGCTGGTGGCTCACACCTATAATTCTAGCTACTCAGGAGGCTGAGATCTGAGGATCGCGGTTCAAAGCCAGCCCGGGCAAGAGAGACCGTGAGACTCCTATCTCCAATAAAACACCAGAAAACCGGAAGTGGTGCTGTAGCTCAAGTGGTAGAGCGCTCCCCTTGAGCTGAAGAGCTGAGGGACAGCGCCCAGGCCCAGAGTTCAAGCCCCACGACCGACCAAAAAAAAAAAAAAAACCTCAAGATTCCTACAAAATTAAGAAAAATAAGGAAAGGGCTGTGTTGGGAGAAGCCAGTGAGAATGTTGACGGGGTGGCATCGATCAAGACACATTGTGTTCACAAACTGACTTGTTAAACAGTAACTCCTTTGTATAACTACTTTTAAAGACTTACAAGAATGTCTATATATATGTACACACACACACACACACACACACACACACACACTCCCTCCCTCCCTCTCTGGAATGATGCATTCCAAATGGTTAACAGGCATTATGTCTGGAAATTGGTACCGTAGGAACCAGTGAGGAAAGAAAAGGGGGAACTGCTGTGATTTTTGTGGTTTCAAGTGTTATATGTAATAAGTAAGATTCTTACAAACAGTATCTCTAATAATTCAAAAAGTATATATGGAATGTGATATATGTATGTGATATATATGTGTGTGTGTGTGTGGTACGTCATTGTAATGATATAATCATTTATACAACTTTCCTATTAACCTGGTAATGCTGTTCATGAAAATAGAACAAAATAAAAAAAAAAAAACACCAACAACCTTCTCAAACAAAAACGAATATATAAAAGAATATTTCCATTTTGTGAAAAAGGAAAAAAAATCCTATGCGTATGTGTTTATGCTCTATAAACCTAGATAGAGACTATGGGAAGCAAAGGAAGGAAGAAAAGGTAAAAAGGGATTCAGAGAACTTTCGAGAAACACAGGTATACTCTAAAATAGAGAGGGGAAAATTGGGGAGGAAAAATTAGGGGCAAATCAACAAGATATATGATGTACCTTAAGACATGAGCCAACATTTCCCAGCCAAAATCATCTGTTAAGCAAACATGAAATGCAGACAGCTGCTCGATCACTAGAGCAGAAACCATGGACTAAAATAAAAGGTTCTGGGCATTTCAAAAGCCCCAAGTTTGCTGTACCTATGTCCCTTGGAGAAAATTCTTTCATTGCATTTGAGTTTGGCCATGACTAGGTTCTTACAAAAAGGGAGAGGGGAGAGGGGAAGGGATCATGGCGGGGGGGGGGGCACTTTACAACTCCATATTCTCTTATTCGTAGTCAAAGGAGGCCTTCCACTAGGGAGCAGGCAACCTTGAGGAGGTGGCCACATGCTGGCACTTACCTTCAGCATTACGGGCTTCTCCTCTTCCTTGTCAATAGGAATATTTGTGCTGTGAACCCAGGTATTGGTGCACAGGTGTCTAAGCCGGACATAGGAGTTCCTAAAGGGAAGAAAGGTTCCAAGAACAGGAATATTTAGCTAGTCAATAGTCACTTGTCTATAATATAACTAATCAAAGTAGAAACCTATGCCAAACTTCTTACCACAACCACAGGACAATACACACACTGAGGGGCACACAGCTGTGGCACAAGTCACATTCTGATGTATTTGTAGCAGAAAATAATTCATAGTGACTCTGAAAGTATTGCTATTGTCTGTATTTCCAAACATAAGAACATTATCTTGTTATTAAAAAGGATATTTAACACCAATAACTGAGTACAAGTTTGTAAGTGTAAAGGAACACTTCTCACCAGTGATGATAAAAAAGGAAGTTTCATAAGGTTCAATAAAGCAAAAAATAAAATCATAAAGTTCTTAGGAGAAACTATGTGTAAATATGCACTAATCTTGTGGCATGAGAACATTCTGAAGCAACTGAGTATAAGATCTTCCAATTTTCAAAGGAAAAGGACAAATTTTATTGCACAGTCTAAGTGTCACATCTTTTATAGGGCAAATGTATATGCATGTGCACAGGTCATGAGCAAACCTGACAGAAAACAGTCTCAAGAAAAAAGAGCAAAACACAACATGAAAGATTATGAGTCTCTTTGTACAACTATTTAAAAATAAAAAGGAAATTTTTAAAAATGATTATTAATCCATACATCTAATGAACCCCACAAATCAATAAGAAAGGCATGAATAATAGAAATGAAAGTGTGAAAAGGACACAAATCAGTAATTTCATAATGAAGTATAAACAGCTCATTAGCATATCAATTGGGCAGTCAATCTTCTCGGTTTACAATGTACACAAATTAAGACAATATATCATTTTATCCTGTCACATTCTAAGAAGCTTCAAAACTGAGAGTAGCAACAAGAGCTTAAGGAAGTGAGTTTTACACATTGGGTTTTTGGGGTTTAATTAGGTTTGCTTGTACTTTTGTTTGTTTGGAGCTCATAGTAGGCATAGTAGCCCGAGCGTATCTTTGGTAAATGGATGACAAAGTCATCAGGCAAGCTCTGGAAAGAAATCTTGTGTGCGTACGCACGCACGCATATTCATATGTGTATGCTAGTTTCAAGGCTTAAACTCAGGGCTTGTGTTCTCACTCAGTTCTTCTGCTCAGGGCTGGCACTCTACTATATGAACCACCCTTCTAGTCCAGCTTTTTTTGCTTGTTAACAGAAGAAGAGAGTCTCATGGACTGTTTTGATCAGGCTGGTTCAAACTTTGATCCTCAGATCTGAGCCTTCGAGATAGCTAGAATTCCAAGGAACCACCTGTGCCCTGTCAGGAGTCGGGCATTTTATAATGTGTTATAAATATCTTTTTAATTCTAGTCATATCATCTCAAAATCTTTTAAGAAATAACTGCACAGTACAAAATGTGCACAAAGATGTTCAAGAAAGTATTATCTATCCTTACAAAAACTTAGTCTCCATTTTCAGTAAAGGACTAGTTAATTATACTGCATGCATAGAAAGAAATAGAAACTACAAAGTTACTTAAAATGATACAATCAACGCTCATTTGCTTGGAATGTGAATATACTGACTGTTCCATAAAAAAATTGATCAAAACAGCTTATGGTCCCATCTTTCAGAAATAAAATAGATGTTATTGCTGTATGTACAAAGAAATGTCTCAACTACATGAACCAAAATTTCACCAGTGGTTGGACAGTTGAATTGGATGTCTTTTTTTTTGTTTTGTTTTACTTGTTTCTTGTTTTTTTCACAGGGTTTTCAGACATTTCTATCTTGTTTTTTTACAATGAGCATAGGGCAATTTTCTAGGCTTTTCAATTTAGCTTTTCATTAAAAAAAAAAAAAAGTAGTAGAAGCAATTCCTTTCCTTAAAAGGCCTACTCCCGTTAGTGGGACAAGATGAATGTCCTCCAAGCAATCTGATGAACAGGAGACATGAAAAAGCATGTCTTCAGAGACAGTCAAGGGGGACTCAGACAGTAATAGAAGCTTTCGGTTACAATTTAGGTTTTTTCTAGCTGGAACACTTGCCATTGGTAGAACAGGTCTGAGAGGGGGCAGGGGAAGGAAGACTTTCGTACTAAAAGAAATGTACAACAGTGGCATACCACATTCGCAGGGAAGACCAGGGGAGAAGATCAGACCTGGATCTTAGCAGGCCCCCTGCTTTCCTCCCTCCAACTGCCCTGAATCTTCCGAGTAAGCCCCCAAGAGGATAACACTAGTGACAGTTACTTAGTGGCATGAATACAAAATAAGTAACAAGATACTTGTTTGCTAAAAAGGATGTACGTTTGTTTATGCTGAGTGAATTGGTTAATTTTGCTTACTTTCAAGCATAATCAAAGCTCAGAGCCTAGCTTTTTAGTTGGATGATTACATTTTATAGTTCTTTGTCAAATTTCATTTAAGACACAAGAGGCAATTCCTCTAAAAGTCTCATTCCTAGCCATTAACTCAAAAGCCACGCTCTCTCAGCATGAGGACAAAAGAGCCCCAGGGCTGCATGCTCTCCCAGTGCTCATTCGGTGCATCTGATTTATGCATCAGCGACTCCAGTATCACTTAGTACATCCAGGTTTGGACACTGTGCCTCTCCCTTTGACTATCTCAGAAATGCCCTTGTTGATAACATTTACCCAAGTACACCCAAGTTCACATAACTAAACGTAAACTTTTGATCTACAAACAAGCAAAAAACTCGGCATAAATTTAAGAAGCAGGGAAATGAACATAGGACTTCTATGGTGTTTTTGTTTATGGTGGTTGTTTTTGTTTCAGTGGTCCTAAGGCCTTCACTTGCTGGGCAGGTGCTCTACTGCTTGAGCCATACTCCTACGCTCTTTTGGGGTTTTATTATTTTTCTAATAATAACTCACATTTTGCTCAGGTTGCCCAGACCCCAATTGTATTTATACTTCCCACATAGCTGGGATGACTGGTGTGTACTCAGTCCATTATTGATTGACATGGAAACTTCACTTAGGCTGGCCTTGAACAGCAATCCTGATAATTAGCTAGGATTTACAGAAGTGAGCCATGGTGCCTAACTATTCCTAGAGTTCTCTGCCTCCACAGGATCAATGAACTGGAGGTCTTGTCTTTTGGCCCTCAGGCTGCTGACCAAGGGTAAACATGAATTAAACAGAGAGCAAGCCCAAAGTAGTAAGTGAACAGGAAGTGAATATGCAGAACACTTTTTCCATCAAGTTGAAAACTCTTGCTTCTGAGTTTACACCAGTCTAGCTGGCATACCTGTCCACAAAGAAACAGACAATAATGAAGACAGGGAATACAGAAGACTTCAACTTTTCTTTTCCAGCAGGGATTTCCAGACCGCTAGGGAATAGAACACAGGCCAACCAGCTCCTCATTCTTTCTGTATCTGATGGAGCAATATGACATTTTAAATCATGCTCTGTTCTGTTCTATCCTAACCAACTTTAACAACTAGCACAGGATATAAATGTCATCCCCTGAAGTCCTAAGAAAAATTCCAATTAGGATGGCTCATGTAAAACAGGTAATAACAAGCGGCAGAGAGAATGCAGAGAGGCTGGAACCTGCCCATGCTGATGGAGGGAAAGGAGGATGGCCTATCTGCCCTGAGAAGAAACTCGGCAGGTCCTCAAAACGTGGTTACCCTATGATCCTGCAGTTCTACTCCTAGACACAGACTGCAGAGAAAAATAAACATCCACACAAACAATAAATAAATGCCCACACTGGGCTGGGAAGGTAGCTCAGTGGTAGAGTGCTTGCCTTGCATGCATGAGGCTCTGGGTTCCAGTCCTCAGCACCACATAAGCAGAAAAAGCTGAAGTGGATCTGTGGCTCAAGTGGTAGAGTGCTAGCCTTGAGCTGAGGGACAGTGCCCAGGCCCAGAGTTCAGGCCCCATGACCAACCAAAAAAAAAAAAAAATCTATCTATCTATCTATGTAGGCTGAGACCTTCGCAGGAGTACTGTTCTCATTGTAAGCCAAATGCATGAACAACTCAAATGACCATTAGCTAATAAGTGGATAAATAAAATGTGCACCATCCATACAATGGAATATTATTTAGTGATAAAAGTAAATAAAATACTGCTATATGCTTCAAGGTGGAGATGAATCTTGAACACAACACTAAGTGAAAGAAGCCAGTCACATAAAACGTGACTCCATTGCTTGATGTTCACCTCAATAGAGTGCTTTTTATTCAACTTACCACTCATGAGCCATATAAGAATAACATGCCATAGTTACTACCCAGTCCAAGTGCTTTTGCCAATTCTGAAGACAGTAACGATTCGGATTTCCAGGAAATGGGCGGGCCACTAGGACCAGCCCTGGTTTCCTTGGGGTAAGCCATTCTGACTGAAGTCATACCTGGGGACGAGGCTGTCACCTCCACGGAGGGTGGTAGGGTCGAGCTCAAAGATGGAGGAGATATCGTTGCCTTCAGGCACGGAGACCAGGGAGTATACCATCTTTTCTTGGGCATTTCGCAGCCTACTCCGAGACGCGTCCTGGTCTGGGTCCACCTGAGGGCACAAAGCCATCTGGTCAAGACTCCTGTATGTCACAGCCTTCGCTCACCACCATCATTCCACAATCCTCAGGAACAGAGGAGAAACGACAGTGTCAGTAGTTCGCAGGAAAAGGACCACGATTTGTTGTGAACAGTGATAAGCAGCCACCTGAGCCAAGATTATGTATTCTCTACCTCCTTCTACCACAGTAAAAAACACTTAAGCAGATGCCTGTGGAAAGGTTAGCTACTGATGACAGGGACCTTTGCAGAGCTATATCCATTTGTAGCAGGTGGGGGAACAGCGGATGTGCTCTGAGGAAACTTACTCTGTGGAAATGGACACCCACAGCTGTGTTCATCTGCAGTGATTGGTGTCTACCAACAATAAGGTAGCTGCTTTCCAGGAAAAAAAAATAACAGAAACCTGAATCCAAGCAGTCACTCATAAGCACCAACTCCAATATGGCCAGTAAGCCCAGGGTCTATTGGACAAGTTAGGCTAGCCTTGAAAACCATGAGCTGGGTGGGCTACGGATGCCCAGATAGAGGAAAGGGCCTTTCCTGCTATACCAAGATTTGGTTGAGATGGGGAAAAGCCCTGAAAGTAAAGGCTGACAATGACAAAGTATTCCTGGGAAACTGTAAAAATACTTTCTGGGCTCCGATGAGCATGGGCCTAAGGAGATGTAAGCAGATTTTAGCCTGGGAACCTGCTCTGATAGGCTTTGCAAGCTCCCTCTCAGTTTGTTCACTCAATGTGGAATGCTTTCTAAGGTGTAACTCCCTACAAAATGACAGCATCCATCTGCATCCACCAACTCCCTCCCCCCACGCACATACTCCCTCATCCCTAGGTTGCTTCTCAGGCCAAACCACTACCTCTTGTCTGAACAGCGAGGAATGTACCAGGAAGAACACGAAGTCAAATCAAGGCAAAGAAGAAAGCATGTAAGAAATAAACTCCATGGGGTCTGAGATCTAGAAGAGAAGGCCACCGTCAGTATGAGTTCTTTTAGCTGGGCGTGGTGTATGCACCTGTTGTAGTCCCAACTACAGGAGCTATCAGGGAGTTAAAGAAGAGGATCACTTGAGCCCAGTTCAAGATGAGTCTGAGCAAGAGAGCTAGACCTGTCTCTGTCTCTCCCTCTTTACATATGTATATAGATATACAGACATATGTATATCTATATACATATATATGCCAACCCAGAACGCTTATTCTTGCTATGCCAAAGTAACAGCAGGAGAGCAACATCTGCATCCTCAGTTTAGAACATGGGACATCTGTTCCACAGTGAGACTTTGTAATTGCGAAGTAACTTCCAGCATCAACTCTCTGACCTGACGATGACACAGGGTTTGGCTGAGGCTAGCAGTGGTGCTGCAGAGACCCGGGGCAGGTCTAGAGAACTGAGACTGCGCTGAGCCCAGCATATCGGTAAGGGACACAGCGAGGTGCCTCCCTCCTCGGTCAGTGTGCAGTCGGCATTTGCTACCTAGTGGGAAGAAAGACACTGGTACAGTAGACAGAGAAGAGCAGCCTCTTGTTGGCCTATGTCTCCCCTGAGGGACCGAGTAAGTGGTCTGAGGGGGCCACTGCATTCAAGGTGAACACAGCACAGCTGAGTTAGGCTTGAGGCAAAACCCCAGGGGCCGGGAGCCCGCCTCAGGGGAATCAATGAGCAGCAGAGCCTTGAGATGCTTCTTCACCCAAACTCACACACAACTCTAGCTTTTTTGCCCAAGGTTCAAGCCAAGCAGAGGGTGAAGGGTGCAGGACCCTCCCAGGATTCATGCTCCACCCATAGCAGCCAACTTTGTGCTGCCAGCCTCACGGGCATGCCTCCGCCGTCTGTGCAGCACGCCCGTGCGGCCTCAGAGCAGGCAGAGCAGGTACCTGCATCCGTACCTCACCTGTCTTCACCCTGCCACCCCAGCATCAAGAAGTCTGAGCCGCAGAAAGGCCACCAAACCTGAAGAGAGGCTACGGTGCATCCTAAGTCAGGACCATTCGCAATGGCATCTTCTCTTTCAACTGACAGTCGTAAAACCTCCTAATTCCAGCACAGCCCAGATGACCTTGTAGATGCAAAGGCACTGAAAATGCCAGTGTTCAGATACAACTAAAAAATACCACTCGGATAGAGGAGAGGCGTCAAGAGGGAAAATATCTTGACAAAGTCAGAGTCCTGACAAGAGGTAGATCTGGGACGTAACTCAGGTCTGTCTTGACTCCCTAGTCCCTCGTATGTGATCACTGTACACTTGATTCTGCGCTGAAATTGCTGGTCTTCCTTCATCCATCCAGAGGCTAGGAGAGCCATCTCTTCCCCCATGGCACCCAGAGGCTCATTCATATATCAGCTCTTAATGCAAGAAGTTACCCCTTACCTAATTGCTAATGTAAGATCTACTCTTAGTCACTTCAGTTGACAGCACAGAGGTCACCAGAGGCCAGTCACACTAAGGCAGTCCTCTTGAAACAGAAAGGACAGAGACAAGAAATGTTGTGTGGAAAATAAAGCCAGGCCAAGTGTTCAAATAGCATAGGAACTATAGAGAGAGGTTTTACAATGGACTTCCATGAACACTGGCCAAAAGCTAGACTAGGCCAAGGTTTTTCGAACCAGATTAATTGTAGAAGGTACATTTTTCAAAAGAGTGAGGATGACAAGGACAGAAAGGAGAAAGATGGCCTCAGGCCCCAGCCCGTTTATACATGTACAGATACATACAGTTCTGAGTGTCTTTCAAGCCAACATTCCACCCAAACATAACCAGAGTTAACCATTAATGCAGGATTCACAAGAATTTCTAAAGACAATTATATTTTAAAATACCTCCATCCCAACTCCCTTCATTGATGTGCTAGTCCTTCCAAATTTTTTGGTGAATTTTGCTAAAAACAAACAACAGCAACCACAAAAAAACAGTACTCTCAAGATCTCCAAGTTCCTCCTTGTGTGTCAATTGAGCAGCAACTGTCTGGGTTGCTTTTTTGTTTGGAGTGTTTTTTGTTTTGTTTTGTTTTTTGTAATTCTAGATCAAGCACTCTGGAAAAGAAACATTTTCCTTATGCCCATTGTCCAGCAAACACAACCCCTGCGTTCCTGAACCAGTAATGGGGACACTAGAACTCCAAGTACCTACATGTTAGCATTATTTAGTCAAATGGTCTCCAAAGAAAAGTCCATTTTGCAATAAAATGCCAAACCACGTCATTCCCTAAAGCCTATTTCTGACTTTGTAGACAGCAAGAGCAGAGGAATAGACACCGTCTCATCACAAGCCACCTGTACCAGGCCTCATGGCCACAGCCTCAAAGGACACTGTCCATATCATCCTACTCATTGAAAACCCAAGTAAGTCACAGAAGGAATTAAACAGCAGTTAAGATCACTGTTTGTAAAAGGACAACTTCCATTTGGGCTACCAATGTCTCCAATCCAAGAGTATTCCGAGAGATACCACGCACATCTCCAGAGGAGAGGAGACTCTGCACTGAACACACTGAAAGAGCATCAAGACCAGTAGGGCTGGAGCCAGTCCGAACACAGAAGAACATGACTTCCGTTAAGAAAGGCACAGAACAAGACCTTGTTTGAAGCAGCCCGAGGTTTCCCCTTCCCCAGCACTCTGTGGCCGCAGTGGCCGTTCTTAAGTGGGTTCCAGCTCATTTGGCCTCACCCTACCACATGAAGACAAGAAGGCTCTTGCCCGTACTTACTGAGGGTGGAAACTCCAGGCATTCTTCCTCAAAGTCAGGGTCTACCTGATGAAAAAGAATCATTAGGAAATTAAAACATCCATTGTTTTCTCAAGGACTAGGACCCATCTGCAGGAGACTTCCACACCTGCATCCATCGGTGACCGGCTAAGAACACGTCCCTTCCCTCCGTTCACAGAACCAGCATGCCACAACAAGAACACGGGTCACACAGGCACAGCACACACGGAACAATCCACCGGTTACCAGCACATGGCTCAAAAGTACAGACAGAGGAAACACAACGAGTCACCAGCAAAGCAACAGTTAAAGGCCCGAGAGAAACAAAAAGATGCTTGATAATCCTAAATCAAGCCTTCCTCTAGGAAGAGTTCTATTTGCCTCACACAGCAGATAATACAACCGCCATTAATCTTCAGCAAACCACAGCATCTCCTAAGCTGATGAGCTGGGTCCATATCTCCCCTAAAGATCCATTTCAAATTTCAGTTTAGACTTCTCGATCTTCCATATTCAAATGTTTAAAAAACATCATCAATTCATACAAGCCTCAGGCCCTCCTAGGAGCTTAGCACTGCGATTCCACAACCCCCGGTCGGCCGCAGGAGCAGGCCTGACACACCCACGCACCCCCTGGGAAATCTCTGAGCAGTCTTGCAGGTGGAACCAGATGATGGGAGCAGACGTATGAGCAGAGTCTGACATGAATGTGCGTTGCCCATCTTCCAGCCGATCAGAAGGAAGCAACATCTGCCACACACTAGGATGGCTCCTTCACTGAATGCAAAAAGTAGAAGATAAGCTCCTCTTGCCTTCAACACTGAGCCTTGCCCCCCCCCAAAACTCTCACAGACTTTAAACATAAAGTTAATTTCTTTGCGTTTTAAGCCTGTATCTATTTCACTGGGTTGAAGGAATCCAGTTTCTCTGGGAACTTGCTTGGTTCTGTTCTTCATGGGTTTTTTGGTTTTTTGTTTTTTTGCTGGTCATGGGGCCTGGACCCAGGGCCTGGGCGCTGTCCTTCAGCTCTTCAGCTCAAGGCTAGCACTCTACCACTTGAGCCACAGCGCTACTTCCGGCTTTTTCTGCTTAGGTGGTGCTGAGGAAATGAACCAGGGCCTCATGCATGTGAGGCAAGCGCTCTACCACTGAGCTACCTTCCCAGCCCCTCTTCATGGGTTTTTAATACTTCTGACGTTACATGCCACAGATTCCCTGCAGCCACCTCTCAGTGATTCATGCCCGAGTGGGGCTGGTAGATAGGATGTGAGGAGGGTAGTGGGCAAGAACAAAACCAAGATGATTCTCAACCCCACAGGAGCATTTATTTTCTAACTTACTTGCTCCCCACCCCTTGGTGAGATCCCCTATCAAGTCCTAGAGTATGCTAGCCGTTTTTCTCTTTTCTACTGAAATGAGGCAGAAGGGAGCAGAAAAGCAGGAGGGAAACCACGGTGGCAGCATTCCTGAGCTGCAGCTACTGGAAGGCTACAGGTGAATAAGAAGACTGGGTGTGTCCACCTTCAAAAAAAACCCCACAACGCTGCTACTTACCTCTGCGGCCAAGTAATGCCCTGTGGCCAGGTGCTTGAAACGGAAGAGGCTGTTCCAATATCCTGCTCCACCACGACAAGGGTCATGCTGGACTACCTGCACAGAGGAGGAGGATCAGCAGGAGTGAAGAGACGTCCCTCCCACCCTAGATGACTCTGAATCGCAGACTTTCAGAAGTGGTAGCTTTCTTTTTTCCTAGTGGAACTAGCGCTGGGACCTTCCGCCTGCTAGGCGGGTGCGGGTGTTCTACCACAGACCCACACCGCTAGCCCTGGTACTGACATCTTTTTTTGAAATACGGTTTCACTTCCTGCCCGGGCACACACCTGACCACAATCCTCCTATTTCACGCTTCCTGCTATAGCTGGGACGAAAAGTGCATGCTGCCATGCCCAGCTGCTTCTGTGGAGATGGAGTCCTGTGTTTGGTTTTTGTTTTTGCCCAAGCTGTCCTAGAACCATGATCCTTCTGATCTCAGTCTCTCACGGAGCGATGATGACAGGCATGCGCCACCATGGCATGCTATTTGCCGCGAAGCAGTCTTACCTGTATGCCCTCATGAATGTGCTATGTGATGCCCTCAAACTCCACCCCTCCCCCATCTCAGCGTCCCAAGTAGCTAGGATTACAGGTACATGGCACTCGCATCTAGCCAAGAGGAAGTGGATATTTTTCAACCAGAAAAACCAGTACTGTCCAACAAACAAGTGGACAAGTATCACAATGAACTCCCAAACTATAACAACATGGAAATGCTAACAGTCTCTTAGTAACATGAATAACTGAAGGACTTCAAGTGGTTTTTGGATCCTTTGCCTTACTAATGAAATAAAAGATTCTGAAACTCATCCACAAGATACCAGCTGACTGAGAGGATTTCTCTGGAGGACTTTTGAGGCAGTGTAGGTCTACCATTGTGTACTGGAATGCACACCCAGACCTGTGCTCAGAAACACAGAATTCTTGAGAGGTAGGGTAGATTTACTACAAAACTTCAGATTCTAGCCATGATATGCTGGTGATGCCATAAACAACTAAACACTGTTTGAAACACAAAATTGCCATAGATAAAACTGGATAAAATGTGAAACAACTGTTCTTGCTTGCTGGGCAACAGATGGTGCATTACTGTGGTCTCTGACAATAGGAAACAAGGTGAGCACTATATTGCTCTGGTTTTCTGCCCAGATTCTCTGGGGCTGGAGGGCACCAGCCTGAGGGCACCGAGCTCTCGGAGTTACAAGGCTGAATCACAGTCTAGCGAGACTCAAGCACTGGGTTTGAGGGGCAGAACTCTGGGGCACAGAGCCACACAGAGGTAAGTCCAGGATCTATGCAATAGTTCTCAAGTTTGGCTATAAATATTAAAACATGTTATGTATAAGACAAGATCCACACAGCCAATAAAGAACAAAGAGGGCAGAGGATGATGCTCAGTGGTAGAGCACTTGTTACCAAGTGTGAAGCACTAGACTAGTCTCCGGCAACACATCTACACACCAGCACACACACACAGTACAGGAAGGGAGGGGAAAGCTCCGTAGTACTGACCCTCACTCAGGCAAAGGTTCTGATTCTGACAAGACAAGATAGTCCTGTGAACCACAACCACCATTATATTATTATTATTATTATAAATTTGCCAGTCCAGGGGCTTGAATTCAGGGCCTACGCACTGCCCCTGAGCTTCTTTTGCTCAAGGCTGGTGCTCTCCCACTTGAGTCATAGTGCCACTTCCATTTTTTTCTGTGTATGTGGTACTGAGGAATTGAACCCAGGGCTTCACATATGCTAGGTAAGCACTCTACCACTAAGCCACATTCCCAGCCTGTTAACCATCTTAGGCACTGAGACATCAAAAAGATTCCCCTTAATGGCAGAGCTAATCTGGCCCAAAGATAAAAGCATCACTACTGTGACCTAATAAAGCATAAAAAAATGAGCCTTCAAAGGCTCACACTGACCCACAGCAACTTGACCAACAAAACTCTCACCACTGTGACAGGGACAGGATTCTAATCATCCAATAAAGGAGCACTACAGTGTTCAGTAAAGGGTCACCAAGCAATACAGTCAGGAAGAGACAACCCAGAAATTCAGCTGGGTAATCTCAAATAATCTGATGACCCTGTGGGTTAATTTGAGAAATATGAGCCAGTTTTCCAATTTTGATATATGCCCTCAGAATCAAGAAACTTAATGAATTCCAAAAGCGTGTGCACACACATACACCATCACCAGATTCATGTAAAGAGAAGACAAAAAGAAAAGGCTTGAGACAGCTGAAGAAGAGGGGGAAGCAATAATACATAGAAGGAACAGATCTGAAAACTACCACATTCCTATCAAAATCAGCATGAGCCAAAAGACAATGGATCAGAAAGAAAACAGTGTATCTAGAACTCAATATCCAACAAGAATCCTTTCCAGAAATGAAGGCCACTGGCCAGGCATGTCATGCAGGTGACCCCTTCAGAAGGCAGCCTGGCAGCCCTGCTAAAGGTTACACAGGAAAAGTAAATCACTCACAGTTCCACTCACAAGAAAAATACATGCACAGGGTGTACTCGTATGGTCTTAGTAGCCCTCTCAAGATCTAAAGTGGAAACGATCCAACGAAATATCATTTGGTGGGGCTGGGAAGGTGGCTCAGTGGTAGAGTGCTTGCCTCACATGCATGAGGCCCTGGGTTCGATTCCTCAGCATCACATAAGCAGAAAAAGCCAGAACTGGTACTATGGCTCAAGTGGTAGAGTGCTAACCTTGAGCTGAAGAGCTGAGGGACAGCGCCCAGGCCCAGAGTTCAGGCCCCACGACCAACAACAACAAAAATTCCAAAACGTTATAGAAATAATTGTACAACCCTCTGAACCCAATGAAAGTCATTAAAGTCCACACATTCTGTGTGAAATAGGAAGTATATGAATTGCATCTCAACAAAAAACTAGTGTTTTAAAAAAAGGAAAATAATCCTGCTTTAAAATGAAGGTAAAAAAATCAAAGGTATTTTCATCCAAATGAGGGTGGAGGGATCTGTCAGGGGCAGACTCACAAGTGCAAGCGAGAACAAAGGAAGTTCTTCAGGCTAGAAAAATTACACCCTTTAAAGAGTTGGATCCACGCAAAGCTCAGAATGATAACTATGTAGGTAAATAAGAAAGATTCCTGATGTTCATTTGTAAACAAGGCAGGAAAAGTAAAAACACACTGTGGGATGTCTGACACACGGAGAAACACAGTGATAATAGCCACACAAAGGATAGGAAGGGGAAACAGAAGCAAACTATTGTAACGGACTTAGGTCACGTGAATAACACAGCATTATGCAATGTTGGCTGGCAATAAGCTAACAGAGACATGGCAAAAAGCCGGTGGCTGGGGACTCATGCTTGTAATCCTGGCCACTTAGGAGGCCGAGATCCAGAGGATCATGGTTCAAGGCCATCTCAAAAAGAAAAGATCAGGGGCTGGGAAGGTGGCTCAGTGGTAGAGTGCTTGCCTTGCATGCCTGAGGCCCTGGATTCGATTCCTCAGCACCACATAAGCAAAAAGAAAAAAGCCGGAAGTGGCGCTGTGGCTCAAGTGGTAGAGCACTAGCCTTGAGCTGAAAAGCTGAGGGACAGCGCCCAGGCCCAGAGTTTAGGCCTCACTACTGGACCCAAAAAAAGAAAAAGAAAAGATCACTAGATTCCATCTGTAAAATAACAAGCAAAAATCAGCTGGAGGCATGGCTCCAGTGGTTGAGTGCCAGTGTAGCAAGTGGGAGTCCCTTAGTTCAAATCCCAGTGCCACACAAAAAAAGACATCATGAAACTTTAGAGCACTGATAAAAATCTAAAATACATAGTGTTTTCTTCCTTCTTTTATTTGAAGGGACAATTACATTTCTAAAATCTGTAGGGGAAAAATTAAGAAAAAAGATTTAAGACATTTTCCTAGAAAATTTTGGGAAAGTGGACAGTAGGAAAGAGCCTTTAATGGATTAAGAATTACACAGCCGTTTCTTCTGAGAGAAAGGGAAGATGTTCTAAAGTGAACTTTTCAAGGTCAAATCCCCACAGAAAGTCATCATCTTTTATTCATTGCCATCAGTTTGGAATGACCAAGCCAGGGTTCCTTGCTGTTTAAAGGCATTAAAGTAAGCCACACTGACTTTGGTAGGGTTCTGACAGCTAACTTTCCCCCCATTTATTATAGCATGATGCATAAAACAAGGTAAAAATTGTTTATAAAAAGAAGTCTTGATGCAGCATATTCTGATCAGAGAAAAAAATGGCTCAATGAAGTGGGCATATTAGCAACATGATATCATTTTCTTCTTTCTTTTTCTTGATTTTGTTTTCCTTTTCTTTTTTCTTTTTAAACCTCTCACCAGCATCCTACGCACACACTAATAAACAACAAAACCCACAGCAGCTAGAACAATGAGGATGAGCATGGACCAATGACCAGCTTTTACAATGTGGTGGGATTGATATTGTCAATAGAGAGCAAATGCTAAGGATGCAGGCAGGAGAAAGTGAAGAGGAAAATGGACAGAGGGCAGACAGTAAGTGTAAATGGAAACCTCAGCCTGCTTATCAAACACATAATGGCCAGACACACAAATGGCCACTGAGCACAAGGGAAGATGGTCAACACTGCCAGCCACAGAGGAAGGCAAAGTAAACTTGAAGTGAGACGTTGCCACCCAAGTGAGTCTCACACTGAAAAGACTAATCATACCAAGAGCTGGGGAGGATGTACAGGAGCTAGGATTTCCACACATTGCTGGAAGCGATGTAGTAAAGTAGTCCAATCACTTTAGAAAACAATTTGGCGACTCATAAACACAAATCTACCATGTGATCCAGCTACTGCACTCATCTTTGGCCAAAAGATATGAGAGTTGACCTCCAAACAGAAACTACATAAATGTCCCTACAAAGCCTTGTTTGTAACAGCCAAAAATGAGAAACAACTCAAATTCCATCAACAGGCAGACAGATTGTGGACCATCCATGCAGTAGAATACTATGCAGCAATGGCAAGGCATGAACTATTTGGTACACACAAGTGCACAGATGTGAAATAATTGTGCTGAGGAGGAAGGGGAAAATATGGCTCCAGGAGGGCTATACATAGTCTGATTCTATTTGTATAAATTCAATGTCAGGCAAGAGTAATTTATAGAGAAAGAGATCAAGTTAGCAGCTATGTCTCTAGGAGAACAAGGGGAGACTAGCTAGCAGCAGGCCTGATGACCTTCCAGAGTTACTACTCATGTGTTTCCTGGTCTACCTTCTTTCTGAAATGTAAGCTAGACACAAAACCCGTGAGGCCAGGAAGGAAGAAGAAAGGGGGCATGTAGAGACCGACACACATTCCTAGTCAGAGAGCTGCCAGTTATACAGAGAGGAATACTTTGGGTGAGGAGGAAAGCTCTGTCTTACTTCATGCTCTCATTACCTCTACCATCAGGCATCTGGAATCATTTTCTTCTTGGCCTAGAAACCCTAGCCTTTCAACAACATACTATGGGCAGAACAGTCTCTGTTAAGGAGCACACCGATTACGCGACTCCAACATTGCTTCCCTGCCTATGAATTAAATGCTACCTGAAGGCAACCTGGATCTATGGTCCTTAGGCTTTGGTCTCCAGCAAGTTTGTGTCCCGTTTTCCCTGCCTGTCTCCTCTCTCCACCAAACTAGGTCAAGAGATTGCTTCCTATTTCCAGTTCAAAGCCATTCTTTTATTGACTCACTGCATTCATCTCGTCCTTCCAAGACACAGATTCTCTAGTGAGCACGGGCTCAACCCTGCCCTCTTAAGGAGCTCTTCCTCAGGTGTGAGTCCCATTAACCCCAGCCCCGCTCCTTACCTCCACCTCCCACAGGGCTTTGGAACTGGTGGCAGATGTGGCCGACTGCCGGCCGGTGGTCCTCAGGAAGACATGTTGCTTCTTCCTATGCTCATCACATGTGAGAAACTTCTCCTGCTCCGCGTGGAAGAGCCTCACCACATCGCCCTACACGTCATCACAAGGAGGAAGGAAGGACAAATGAGTGTGAAAAACAAGAATCAAAACCCAGCAAAACTGCCACTCAAAGAGAAGCCAAACATCAAAGAGTTCCCCAGCCCAGAAAGCATCAAACTCACCCCCTTCAAAATGTCATCTTTGTTGTCACTCCACTTCATGAACAGGACTATTTTCCAGCTTGTATTGCAATTGACGGAATTGACCTAGAAAACCAATTACATACTGCTCCCAACTTGGTACTCTAGCCCCAGAATTCCTCACTGCAGCCCAAGCTTGAATCAAGGGTGTAGGCACGAGTACTTAAGAACTAGTGCTTATGAAATGGACTAAGCTTCTAAGAAATGAGTTTGTTGCACATGTGAAAAAGTTAATGATCGCTGTTAATGGCAAATGCCATTATTTGTGTTCTAAATATATGCCAGGCACTGAGCTGCCTAATAGTAACTCCCTAAAAAACCAGCATCCGTCCCCTTTCAGAGATTGGGAAATGATGCTCAGAAACATTAGGTGATCTATCTACAGTCACACAGCCAGGGAACGGCAGACTCAATCTGAGTGACACCTGTCCTACTCTAGAACTTGTCCTTAGCCATGAGACAAAGTATTCACATCACAGGCAAAGTGCCATCTTGCATCTTGTAACCGCCAGTTAATAAGATGGACTGCCCCAAGCAAGACACACTCACAGTAGTACTGCTTACACCGGTAACGTGTGCTTCTGGGGAATGAGAGAAAGGTGTTCCTGTGCCAGACCCCTTTCAGGCAAAGTAAATTAGAACTAGATTCCTCAGTGCTGCACGTGGTGACCATCAGCCCACCTACTACCCACTACCGGACCTGCAAAACTACAGCTCAACTCAACTCTGGACCTTGTTTCTTCACCTGCAGAACGGGCAGAGCGGACCTAAATCACTGCTGGAGTCACCTTCACAGTACGCATGCTCTGGGCCCCAGAGGGCCACCCCAGGCATGTGCCAGGACTCGAGTTCCCTTGGTTTTCCTCACCTCGTTGCAACCTGGGTTGTCCACCAGCTGATGGCTGCTGGCATGGAGGGGCTGGCCGGCATTGACTGGATTCAGAACCACCTTGTCCCCAATGACCACCTAGAAGGAGAGAGGGAGCAGAGCTTTTCACAGAGCAGATCAGGACTGCACCTGACCCCCAGGGAACCTTGCGGGGACCCAAAGCAGCCTGTCTGTCCCGAGCGTTGTCTATTCTCACGGGCAGGAAGAGGCAGAACACATGGCCCAGCCCCTCAAGTCTCATCTTGTGCAGACCAAGGGTCGTGCAAAGAAGGCAAAGGCTGAATTTTGGTGCCCAACTGTCATTGATTCACGCACACATCCCAAGTCATGAAGTAAAAGTCCACTTTATCATATTCAGTGGAGGTTCTTGTGTACATAACTCCATTTTAGAAAAAAATGGTAGTATTTTCATAGTTGTTTTTGACTTTGAATAAAGACATAGTTTTATGTTTCTAGAGTAACTGCCTTCATACTTTTGTGGTCATAAGAAATACATTTTCACTGGGCCACCAGTGGCTCATGTCTGTAATCCTAGCTACTCAGGAAGCTGAGATATGAGGATGTGGATTCGAAGGTAGCCCAGACAGAGAAACATCCTCAAGACTCCACCTCCAATTAACCACAAAAGGCCCAGGTAAAGGTGTGGCTCAATCGTAGAACCATGAGTGAAAAAGTGAATAAGGAAAAGCACAGGGCTCTTAAGTTCAAGCCCGGTGTCTCCCCCTAAAACAAAGATTCTATTATGATATACATACATACGTAGATACTTCATTATGTGTGTACATTCCCCTTAAAACAGTACTTCCCACTTAGTGAAACACAAGCCTGATAACTTCCATTTCCTAAACCAATAGTCACAATCCATGACAGTGACTCCACTGCCTGCAAAAGGGTCCATCTCTCTAGCGTGTAAAGCACCATTCTCAAGCAAGCTATTGAAGGATAGGAAAGCATAAGTTTCTTGAAAATGAAATTCAGAATGAGACACATTTGTTTTCTATTATGGGGGTAAAAGGAGGAGGACTGGAGGAGACAGCTTCCCAAGATGGAAAACTCATCTACTTTCAGTTGGATACACATGGGAACAGATCCAGCAGTAACTCTAAGGGAATGGAACTCCACTCAGTAAAACCAGCACTGTGATAAAACAACTGCACTGTAGGCCAGCTGATAGGGACCGGCCTGTTCTGATATCTATGTAATATATATATATGCACGTATATTATATATATATATATATATATATATATATAATATGTGCTTGCATGAACACACACACACACACAGACACAAATATATTTCAACTACCCAAAGCTTGTATACTTAAGTGACACAATTTTTTTTTAATGTCCAAACTTAGTTTGAGGTTAAGGCTGGTTGAGTATTTTCAGAACACTTCTTGCTGTTTAAGGCACACATTTCCTTTTTGAGTATAGAAACAACTATTTTAGAACCTTCACAAGGTCCGGGATATAGCTGATAGCATTTAAACATATTCACGGTTAAGTATGTGCCCACGTCATGACTGACTAATTTAGCTAGCAAGTGTTCTAAGTTGCCCTGAAAGGGATTCCTGTGGCTTTCCATTCTGTAGACCTGCAGGCCAGGGGCCGGCTCGGGACCGCTGCTGTTGCATAAGGAGATGGAGAGCCTGCCTGTTTACTGACACATCCTAAAATCCACTCTTACCCTGCAATATTTCCTCCCATCTTCCGTCCTTTACTAACTTTATTTTCAAAACAGACATTTCCATTCCACTAATGGCTCTGAAAGGAACAGGGGGTCCTCCCAGGCCATTAATATGGGATGGCTGTTTTTGTGGCAATATTACTGAGGTAATGGGCTGGTCGTAGGATTTTTTTTTTTAATTTTTATTTTCCAGAGACCCAGTAGGAAAAACATAGTGACTGTATTTAGGTCACACGTTTCTCCACAGTTCCTTGTTTCCCAAACACTAGTTTCCATAGTGATTCATGCAGGATACGCCTGTGGTTCCAGCTCTCGACTTGTCCATGTTGAGTCTCACAGACAGTGAGGGCTGGAGGCAGCGCCCACACACTCTCCAGGGCCAGGCCCCAGGCGCTTACACTGTCTCCGATGGATCGCAGCTTGTAGAATGGCTGGATGTAAAACCAGGACCCTTCGTTCCCAGCTTCATCCAACGTCACTCTCATGGCATTCTTCTCTAGCAGGGCTGGAAGTCTCTTGTTCACAGTTAGGTATTTATTACTTTTCAGATGCAGGAGCTAGAAGAATTTCCCAAGAGAATAAAGTATCAGTGAACCTCTGAACATTCCACCATTTCTCTCTCTCCGTCATATAAAATATATATCAAACACATTCCTCCCGATCACTGAGCTGCCTGTGAAGCATAAGGAACACAACCTGCCCAAGGCTGGCGATCACGAAGAAGAGGAGGAGGAGAAGGAGCAGTAGAGGGAGCAGAAGCAGAGGGCGGAAGACAAAATAATACATATACATTTGTCCTTTCTCAACATAACCTTGGTCAGGAGTCTGCCTATACGAGAAGGAGCTATAGTCTCAATCTGCCAGACACCGAAGCCCGAGCCCAAGATTCGGTTTGATTTCAAAGGGATTGTCATTTGCTCTGGAAGAAGACGGCAGTCATGAACTTCCACCTTGAACGTACTACTATGTACTATTCTTGATTCTTAGATGATGGTTACGAAAAGGGGGTAGAAAGATGGAAGCCCTAGCTGAGAAACCATTGTCAGTCTGTAACAGAAAGAGCTGACCAATGCTTCCCAGGTCAATAGGCCATGACAGAACATGGCCTTGGAGACAGAAAGAATCAGTTTGTGACTCTATGGTCAACTGCCAATCTTCCCGCCCCATGCCTCTGGGAGAGGAATAGCAATGTCTTCCCAAATCTCCTTCATTCGCCTAGTGTGTAACCTGTGGTTTTCCGTAGACCTGGCCAGGCTCTGGACTCAGCTGATTTATAAACCAGCATCTCCTTATAGATGGTCTGAAGAGCAAGGTTTAAGTAATAAAAATAATCAGATTTAGTTACTGTGGATCACAGCTACCACCATCCTCAGAAACAGAATCATTACCATTTTTAAATCTTTTTTATTTATTTTTTTTACCAGTTGTGAGGCCTGAACTCAGGGCCTAGGCGCTGTCCCTCAGCAATTCAGCTTGAGGGCAGCGCTCTACCACTTGAACCACAGCGCCACTTCCTCATTACCATTTTTATTTCTATCATTTTCATGGCTCTGAGACATGACAAGATTCCTTGCAGTAATCCTGCAGTACGTCCTACTGGTATGCATTTAGAGTTTATGTCTTTGCCCCTGGAAGCCCCTTTCTTCCTTGGTTCAGGTATGTTCTCCAGTCTAATCAAATCAGGTGGGGAGGTCTTGCACTCTGAGCTTCCAGGCACTGGCCTTGCTCAGTAACAGAGTCAAAGCTGAACTGTGAGCCCACTGGGCCCCTTGTGTCCATTCTCAATAGGACAGAGGGAGGTCTGGAAGGATCTAATCAGCTTCCAGGAGTTACCCTCCCTACGCCAAAAAGGCTGACATCCCTAATTTGTTTGATTACCAACTGTTTTGTTTTTGCATCCTACTGAGCGACACTGCTCCATACCTAACAGCAATTTTTTTTAAATGGGAAGGAATCCCGTCATAATAAGTGAAGTGACAGAGTAAGCAAAAACCTTTCAAAAGGGGAAATAATGAAGCAAGATAATCTAATAGACTCAGGGCTCCCATCCTTTGGGTCTGGGTTAAAATGATTTGGAACTGGACAAATCGAGAAGGGTGCTGAGCTCTGGGCTTCTTTATATACCATCTCCTAGACTGACAGATCCTTGAGAAGGCTTAACAGACCTTCTCTCTTGGGTGGTATTTTGTCTTCAGGATAAAGCCAAATGGACAGAAGATAAGCAAGCACATCTTCCAACTGGTAAGATATGAGAACAGTCATCAAGTACTTTTGACTAATTATAAATGCATCAAAATGGTAAATGTTTCCTCTTTTTAAATTCTGAAACTATAGAATTGCTTTTATTATCTCCAGTGAACAGCTCTTAAGCAATAATACAAGGAAGCCAATTCTCACCAAACAGAATAACTTTCAAGTAATGCAAATTAAGCAAAACTACAAGACTCGGGGCTCCTTTTTTAGGCAGACAGTTTCTCATTTGAAATATCGAGACATAAACGATCAGCTACAGACACAGAAAAGGACACATTCTCACCAAGAGATAACCAAATAGACAGCCCCAACATCCACTAGATAGAACAAGAAATACCCAACGGATATAACAACAGCCAGTGTGCAACAAACTGGCCGTCTCCATGGAATGTGAGTGTGAAGGCGTCCAAACCCTATGGGACGGGTTTTCTTGCTGTTGTTCTGGCCATGCTTCCGCCCCGGAGGGGGCACCGGCCTCACCCACCTGGATCACATTGCCGTACTGGATCACCGTCCCCAGCAGCTTCCTGTTTTCCGTCTCATTCTGCTTCTTTTCCAAGTCTGCAGCATGCTGTACATGGAGAGGGAAGACCCATCACACAGGGGGAAGCCCTGGGTTCCATTCCTATGCAGCCAAGCGGAACCAAGGCTACCAGCAAGGGCCGCGGAAGCCAGCAGATCCGTCAGCACACACCGAGGCCATGGGAAAGGAGCCAGGGGCTGCCGGGACCACACTTTCTGCCTCCGCTTTGTTGCCCTTTTGAGCTTCTCTAAAATGGGCCTTTTCTTTGGAGAATTCATCGACATTTGTTTATGATGATACTGGGTAAAGGCCACGTACATTTCAGGAAAATAGAATAAAGCTCAAGAGAGAATATGCCTTCCCTTTTATGATGTTTAAAATGTTTTCTTTAAGGTTTCAGACTAAAATAAAGCTGGATTTGATTGCTGGTGTAGGGTGGGTTTTACTTCTGAGACCCTGAGTATGTGATATAATCTCTTGAGCCTGTCTTCTCAATGATGAGATTAAAAATGGTACCTTTAGCTGGGCACTGGTGGCTGATGCCTGCAACCCTAGCTACTCAGGAGGCTGAGATCTGAGCATCACAGTTCAAAACTGGCCTGATCTTCAGTTAACCACCAGAAGTCCAGCTGTGGCTCAAGTGGTAGAGCACTAGCCTTGAGCAAAAAAGCTCAAGGACAGCACCTAGAACCCACGTGTGCATGCCTGTGCACACACACTCACTCACAAGATACCTTCTCCTAGTGTCTAGCCACTGTCACATACGTGGATCGTTAGCTATTATCGATAGACATTAATTGTATTTCAATACGTTTCATACTAATTCCCTGAAAGGAAGATGATTACCTCTGTGTTTCAGAGGAGACATGAGATTATGAAGTTTGGTCAACACCACGTGACTAGGTGGATGATGAGTACAAATATAGTTTGTTATGTTTTCTCTACTTCTGTGCACATTGGAAATTACTTGATAATGCGTGTAGAATTAGAAATAAGGCTAAGAGACACTACTAGCCCAAATTTCAGATGCTAGAAAACATGGTAAAGCCAAATACAGAGTTCTAGAATAGGTTGCCAAGGCCACCATCTTCTTTTTTTGGGGGGGGGGGAAGGGGGCAGTCCTAGGGCATGAGCTCAGGGAGCTGTCCCTGGGAAATTTTGCTCAAGGCTAGCACTCTACTACTTTGAGCCACAGCACCACTTTCAGCCTTTCTGAGTAGTTTATTGGAGGTAACAGTCTTACAGACTTTCCTGCCCAGGCTGGCTTTGAACCATGATCATCAGCCTCCTGAGTAGCTAGGATGACAGGCGTGAGCCACCAGCGTCCAGCCAGGAGCACTGTCTTGAACAGTTGCCTGACTCTCATCAACTGTGACCAAACTGCTGTCATGTCACAACAATGCTAAAGGGGAATGAATCAGCAGACTGATGAGCTAACCTGTCACCAGGGATAAAAGTAAGAAGCCAGACAGCACTCAGTATGGAATATGATGGAAACTAAAACCCTGATGACTGATGGGTGTTCTTTCACAGGTACTTCTCATGTTCTCTTCCTTGGTTCCCAGGAGTTGCTGGCTGCCCTTTCCCAGGTAACATGTCTTCATTTTCCTGGGGCCCTCCTCAGCTTAGCCTTGGAGACCTTCTATGGAAACTTCATAATCTGGCCCAGGTGCCTTAACTCACCAAGCCTCCCGCTGTATTCTCACTGCAAAGCAAGGGCAAGACATCTTTCGGAGCTGTTGTAACAGAAATGCACATTGCCACAGAAATGCATGTCAGATAGAGCAGTGGCAGATTTGTATTTACCTGCTTGTTTGATTTTTTTTTTCAGTACTGGAGATCAAACCCAGGGCCTCATACTGATGGGGCCTTACCACTGAGCTATACACTCTAAGGGCCTTCAAGTTGAAACATAAATTAACCATTATCATTATAACCAAGTTTCTAGTGATGTTCTGGTGATAAAGCTTTTAAAAGGGGTCCTAAATTGTCTGGATCAACAGTCAGTTTGTTTCTGCTCCAGCTCTGCCTCAAGGGTAGGTAAGTTTAGAGAGGTACATTTTAGGAGGAAACTAGAGGGACCACTCCTAACCCCAAATCACATTTTATTATCAGAAGGGGAAAGAGCGGCCTATTCTTGTGTGGATCCCAGCAAGGCAAACACGCATGCACATCAGCTACTGAAAGCAGTGGCTTAGTTACAGGCCTCCCTCGCGCTCCCCTCTCTTTTGGAATTAGCTACCCCTCCTCTGTTCTCAGTTACACAAGAATGCAAGCCGCGGGGCTCCAATAATAATTCCAGTGCAGACAACGTGGCAGCCTTTGGCAGCTCCACACAACTCTTCACTCTTCTCTCCACAAAACCTACTCCTTAACTACTCCCCATCTCTCATTTCCCCCAGTTCTCACCCCTGTGCTTCACCCCCTCCAGATGTGTCCACAGTGCCCACAGGTTGTACAGAACTTTCCAAACAAAACACTGGATTGGATCCGCTTGGAAGGAAAGTTTATACAAGGTACAGAGTGATTTGTTCTTTCTGCTAAGCAGTTTTCAGCTAATACGAAATGGGAACTCAGGAAGGAAAATACATCAGATGGAGAAAAATCAGTGGATTCAGAAAAATAAATTGTACCATTTTCCAAAAGGCGAATATAGTTTTTCTGTACTTCAAACATTACACTGGTAGGGTGCACCTGTAGAGAATTCTTAAGTACAACTGCTTGAACTCCAATGATTTAAGAACCCTTCTTTGTTTGAAACAGAAAATTCTCAGATTTCCAATGGCTCCACCGAAGACATACCAATCTAAAACACTGAGTTCCTACCTACACTTAGCACTTAACGCTATAAAACCTCAACCCAGAAGCCACTTATATCTCTAAAAAAGAAATGTCAAATTAGTCATAAAAAGCCAATCCATTCCATATTAAAGAATAATTAAATACCAGCAGCTCTAAAGAGCAAAGGCATTTGCCTAAAAAATGTATGAAAAGTTAAATTAACAGAAAAAATAGAGAACAGGATATAATAAATCCTCTTGAAAATATTCTATCACTCCTGGCAAGACAGTAGCTCAGCTTGTAATCTTAATGACTCAAGAGGCTGAAGTCTGAAGATCATGGTTCGAAGCCAGCCTAGGCAGGAAAGTTTATGAGGCTCTTATCTCCAATTAAGCACTAAAAAAAAAGCCACAAGTGGAGCTGTGACTCAAGTGGCAGAGAGCTAGCTTTGAGCAAGAAAGCTCAGGGACAGCGTCCATACCCATTTTGCCCAGGATATATGTATGTATATATATATATATACACACACACACACACATAGAGAGAGAGAGAGAGAGAGAGAGAGAGATACACACATTTATACTTCAATACATTCTGTATATACATATGCATGTTCTTTCACAAATAAAATCCATTTAAAACTCCCCATTAAACCAAGCAAGAGTCCTTTAATTCTATTAACAAGTTTAATGCTGGTAAGAGTCCTACAACTCATTACCAAATAAACGTTAAAAGCTTGAACCCTATGGACTGGTCTAAATTTACTTTCCTCTTTGGCTAAGGAGAAAAGTCTCCAATGCACCTTCTTCTACATGCACAAATTTCAAGTGCACTCATTTGGGTCACCCAGGACTCAATGTACAGGTAACTGCCCTCACAAAATCAAACTCAAGCAGAAACATCCATTGTGATTTTTCCGTTCCACTGGCAAGGCAAAACAGGTAGCTGGAGGTCTGTAAGGTCCAGGCTCCCTCTGGGCCCACAGATCAAGGCTGTTTCCACCTTTGAAAAGAATATGATCATTGTTTGTTAAGCCCTTCAAGTATGTTCCAAGAACAGGCCGGTACTGTAACAGAGGGAACAAGCCTAACATTTCCAGAGAATAATCTGGCAGTGTAGATCACCAAGGATTTCAACAGGCATAACTTTGACTAAGTAATTTTGTTTCTAGGAGTTTCTCTTGCTTAGATAAGCAGGCAAGTGCACAAGACCTTCGTAACTTTTGTTTTTCAAAGTGGCAGAAATGGTCAGGATGCTGAATATCCTCCTCCCACTTTTCCTCCGCTAAGGGACTAATTATCCCAAAGAATACTGACAAACAATGGAATAACCATATAGCCATTCAAAATGAGGGCAGGGCCTTCTAGTTATTCAAGACATAGTGGGGGAGGGGAAAACACACTCAAGCCAGAGAAAACAGCATGCACCCATGATAGCTTCCTGTTCATTTCTACTTGGGAATTCTTTTCCAACATTACTCTTGTGTAAATTCTTCAAACATATCCTCATTGTGTCTCTATGGGAAGTGGCCTGGCTGTTCTTAAAAGCCATCTTAAATCTGCTACATTTTCTTTCTTTGAAATTCTGATAAATAAAATACCTGTTAGTTCCTCCCCTGACCCAATGGATTGAGGACTGTTTTTAATTTCTGAGGAAGAAAACACTGTATGCTCTGATTTCTGCCACTGTTATTCACCACTGACAGCACCATGTTCCCTAAACAACCACAAGGTCAACCCATTACAGGCACCTGTTATTCTGTTTCAGAAATAGAGAAACCATTATTAAATTATGACAGAAAGGTCACTGGAACAGGGAGGAAAGGCTATTTGCTTAAGGCCAACAAGCTCAGAATTACGTAATATGATATTAAATTAAGGCTTCAGAAAATAAGCAATGCACAACTCAAGCTTTGCGGGACAGGAAGACTTGCTACTCCTCTGCTTCTCCCTAGCTTGTCAGAGCTGTGGCTTAAATAAAGTGATCGTTTCTCAGAACCCAAACCGTGCAGGTGCCTCTTTCAAGGTAACAAGTAAGTTGTTAGGAACTGGCCAAGGCGTTAGGACAAATTGTGTGATGTGAGAGCAAGGAAAGCTGCTCTTCTTGACAAAAGACTTCGGGAAATTGTGGCCACATCAAGAATCCCATTTTCCCTACAGAAGTTACAAGCACACACTGTAAGCAACCACTAGGTGTCGCTCTCCTTCAAACAGCTCTTAGTGCTTGCTTATCCTAGTCAAAAGGAAGTCAAGTGGTCTAGACAACTAATTCCTTAAATGGCATTAATTTAAAATAATCTGACCTCTGACTGGGGTGCTACACAAGTAGTTGACAAAAATAAAAATGAGAACCCACTGGAGACTAGCCACCAGCCCCCAAAGGCAAGCGGCTGCCCAAAATACAACATTTTAATGATTGCACTGCAACATGCAGATTACTTTGAGACAACAGAGGGGAAGGGCTCCAAGTGAGCAGGACAGCAGGGCCCACACAAAGCCAAGCACAAAGCAACACTCACGACCGACCGCAGTCACATCAGGAATCTTAAATCGGGAGAAAGAACTGGTTTTAAGCGATGGAAGTTCTTGGTCACCTTTAGCGCTGGAATTTTTTCCTACTGTTTTCTTTAGTTCATTTGCAGGAAGGAGCAGCAAAGGAACCCTTAATGCACCATAATGTATAGCTCACGGGCCACCAAGGGACTGAGAACTCCCAGGCAGCCCAAGTCTGAGCCATTCTGGGCTGGTGTTTGAGGCTTTAACTGAATTAGCTGTCACCATGTTCTAAGAAGTAGGATATTACACACAAAAGCATGGATTCTGATCTCTTGTCAAAACAGAAGGCATGCAGCTCTTGGCCGGCCTTCCCACGCAGTAACCACGGGGAGTTGGAACAGCCCCATCGCGCCCCCCCCCAAGACCTGCACATGCGTAGGCCCCACGTGGCGACAAAGCCCACCAAGCCCCCTTTATTCCTGTTGGCTTCCAGCATGGCCAAGAGCAATGTGACTCTGTAACCTCTGCTGCGAAAAGTACAGGAGAAGAAAGGGCTCGAGATGTACTAGTAAGATCTCACCAAACACAACGACCTTCATTCCAGAGAAGAGAAGGCAGGACAGCTAGAAACATGAAGAACTTCCACAAAGATAACCCCCGGGCACTGCACTGAGCAGCTCCCTCCTAGAGCGAGGAGATGGGGCACTGCCCCTGCCCCCATCCAACAAGAAGATGGTATTCCCAGCACAGACCTGGGGGGGGGGGGGTTCCTGAGTGGTACAATGACTTCAGGGTAGGCAGGTGGAGGGGTCATGGTATTCAGTGGACAAGAACCAGACAACCTGGAGGCTGAATACAGCCTGATCCGTGTGTAGAGACCTGTGATTATCTGAACCTGGTGCCTCACTCCATTCTACACACCGGTACAAAGCACGGTTTCCTGGGGATCTATTGCTACTCTCATTAATACATTTTCCCAAAATACAAAGTACTGTTGAGTGGAGGGAAGAGTGAGTGTGCTATGCACTGTTGATAACATTACCAGAGTCAGGAAATCACATTGCAGACACCGTTCTTTTTATACCACCAATAAGTGCCTGCATCACATGAGTGAGCTCTGATTCCTGCGGGTCTCCTCCAGTAGCTGCCCCTGAGCACCGAGAGTATCATTTATTATGCCATAGATTATCTTCCTTTTTTCTTTTTCGTAAGCCACTAAAATTTTTGGATGCCTATCAATTTTATTGTACATTGGTGAAGTTGTATCACTTGCTAAAGACAAGGAGGTAATAGGTCTAAATTCACCATGTCTAAGATCATTACCGCAACAGTCGTAATTATTTTCGCTTGTTTTTCTTAGGGAGCTGGAGCTCAATCCTAGGCCCTTGTATGGCTAGACAAGAGTTCTATCACTGAGCTCCATCCTTAGCCTGGATTTCAGGCATTCAACAATACATCTGGGCTTGATGGGTTTTTTTTTTTTTTTTGTCAGTCATGGGGCTTGAATTCTGGGCTTGGGCGCTGTCCTTGTGCTCTTCAGCTCAAGGCAAGCGCTCTACCACTTGAGCCACAGCATCACTTCCGGTTTTCTAGCGGTTTATTGGAGATAAGTCTCACAAATTTTCCTGCCCGGGCTGGCTTTGAACCGGGCTGGCTTTGAACTGTGATCCTCAGATCTCAGCCTCCTGAGTAGCTAGGATTACAGGCATGAGCTACCGGCGCCCGGCTTTGATGTAATTCCTGAAGTCTTAAAAATTTTGTTTTTTCTTTTGCCAAGTCTTTGCTTTCATTGTTTCCTTTTCTTTTTTGTTTTCTGGTTGTGGAGCTTGAACTCTGGGCCTGGGCGCTGTCCCTGAGCTCCTCAGCTCAATAGCTACCGCTCTACCACTTGAGCCACAGCGCCTCTTCCAGTTTTCTGGTGGTTAAATGGACCTAAGAGTCTCACGGACTTTCCTGCCAATGCTGGCTTTGAACCACGATCCTCAGCTCTCAGCTAGGGTTCCAGGCATGAACCACCGGCACCCGGCTGTTTCTTTTTCTTCTACCCCCAGATCCTTTGGGTCCCTCAGACTGAGGTGTGCAGGGCGCTTCCATCTTCTTCCAGGAAGCCCACCCTGATCACCACGTCCCTGGATCCAGCAAAGATTCCAATACCTATTCTAAACACCCCGCTCCCTGACATACGGGTGGCTTCCCCTGGAATGCAGTACTTGTACAGCGTCTTCGTTCTTTATTTGCTATGAAGTTTCCAGAGGTTTCAGGAACTTCCTCTGTTTGGTCACCAGCACTAAGCCACAGCACTTCACGGCTGCTCAACGAGTGTTTCTCAAGGGCCTGATTTGAGTCAGACTCTTCCGGAACAACACGGTGCTCAGAGAGAGACGATGCTCCCGACCTTACAGAGGGCCACCACTCTGATGGGGGACAGATAATGAAGGAAGTTGCTAAGATAATGAAGGGAAGGGCAGAGTCCAGAGCTGCGATAGAGACCACAGGCTGGACGTCTCTTGCAGGAAGTGTGGGGAAGGCGGCTCCGTGGAGATGACATGGAAACTGAGACTGGGTGTGAAGGACGCACAGATCTGAGCTTAAAAAGAAAATAACTGGGGCTGGGAAGGTGGCTCAGTGGTAGAATGCTTGCTTCGCATGCATGAGGCCCTGGGTTCGATTCTCAGCACCACATAAAAAGAAAAAGCCGGAAGTGGCATGGTGGCTCAAGTGGTAGAGTGCTAGCCTTAAGCTGAGAGACAGGGACCAAGCCCAGAGTTCAAGCCCCACGACCGACACGAAAAAAAAAAGGGTGTAAAGGTCATGAAATGGGATAAAAAAAATAAACAGCCAGTACACTGGTGGCTCATACCTGCAATCCTAACTATGCAAGAGGCTGAGCTCTGAGGATCACAGTGCACAGCCACTTGGGGCAGATATATCTGACAGACTTTCATCTTCAGTGAACCAGCAAAAAGCCAGAACTGAAGCCATGGCTCAAGTAAGCAAGCCAAGTGAGTAAGCAAGCCAAGTAAGGGCGAACAAGGTCTTGGTTTCAAAACTCATTACTGTCATGAACAAATGGATGGATGGATGGATGAACCAACAAATGAATGCTACTAAAGGCATTCATACTACAGGCTCTAGGGTTTAGGAAAAGCCCAGCCCAGGTGTGTGAGATCCTGCACAAAACAACAACAATGCTGCTGTTTATTTTAGGGGCAGTGGGAGCGAGGGCTGTCAGTCCTCACAGGGCTGATTATGAGCTTGCTGATGGAAGACACCTGCTCTATTTATTCTACCTGGGGCACAGCACAACTGCAATGGGACGAGCACATCTCTTACGTGCCAAATAATAATAATAATCATAGCCAAAATTCATTAAAGAATAGCCAGAAGTTGCATATTATTTGGTGCTAGGCAGTGTTCTCGTGTCTCATTTCACATAATCCTCACAGCCTCCTCCTGAGGTGGCGAACACCATCACCCCCATGTTGGAAAACAGCCATGGGATTTGCCGAAGGCCACCAGGCAAGGGCAGAGGAGCCAGATCACAGTTCTAGGCAGATTTCTTCCGCAACTGGTGCTCACAACCACTAGTCTGCAGAAGCATCCCTGAAGGGGAATGGAGGAGGAAGGAGGGTTTTCCGGACATCCCCTGACTTCAGTGTGCCACCTCTCCTCTCCTCAGGGCTCTCTGTTCCTCCTGATTTACGAAAGAACAGGGGAAAGCCGGAAGCTAGAGTCCTGGCCTCGCCCTGACACCCCCAGGTGACAGCCTGCAGCCCCATCTCCTTACGTACATGCAGCTTGTTGAGCAGCACCGCATCTGTTGTGCTATTGGCCCCCGGCTTAGCAGCTTTCCAGAACTGCTTCTGGGCAGAGTAGCGATTCATGGGACATAGCTTGAAGAGGCAGTCTAGACAGGAAACAAACAAACACAAACTGTTACCAAGTATGCACACACACAAGAAAAAAGCCACCTGCTGGAAAAGGCTTTCCATCTTTATTCATATAAGGTATTAGCGATAACGCGACATGTGGGTGATGCCAGGAGCCCTCTCACCAAGTTTGCTTTTTTTAAGTTTAATCCCACCACTTGGTGAAGTTACCCATGAGGGAACTGAGGCTTCTTAGGAAGAGAACCACTGTCCACTGTGAGAGATCGATAGCACAGCGCCGAAGTTCAGTGTTCAAATCCCATGCTCTTACCACCGTCACGGCACGGTGGACAGACAGAAGGATAAACAATCCTCACTGTGCCCACGTACACCTGCAATGGCTCCCTAACACATCCCCACATCTCTTCAGTCCCGCTCAAGCTCTGTTTCGCTCCAGAACTGGGGACTGAACTCAGAGCTTTGTGCTTGCCAGGTTAAGTGCTCAACATGCAAGCCACAAGCCCAGTCCTTACAAAAGCAGTAATAATAATTGCCTACATTTAAGCTTATTTGGAGATGCTGCCTAGGACAGTGACTCTCAGACTCCCGTGTGAAGTGAGTGCAGAAATGCAGCGTCTCAGCTCCCAGGAGTGGGGATCCACCCTGCCCCCAACACCAGTGCACCTTGATGCCCTTCCACTTCGGAGGTTATGAGTTTGCCCACTTGTCCTATACAACAGAGGCAACAAGCGGCTGCCAGGCTTTCTGCAAAGAAACCAAAACATGGAAGACAGCAGTAGTGTGACCCCAGGCTACACCCAGACCAAAATCCCACCCTTCACTCTCGCCTCTCCACTCTGCCACTTTAAGGAACGAACTAATAAACCAGTCGCTCTGAGTAAAAGCCACCTAGAAGTTAAAGGCCAACGAAAACCATTGAAAAGCTGACTTTAATGATGAACCTTGTTCTAAGATGAGCATGAGACTATCGTGATTAACCGGACATTACATTATGATTTGCCTTCATCTTTTCATTAACTCTACTGTCCTGCTTTTCTTATCATGTATATGATACAGTGCATAAAGCAACACATGTATATAACTTCACACACACACACACACACACACAGTTTAGGACTATATTTTGGTCCTAAAAGTTTAGAGGACTAGTGGTGGAGCTCAGTGGTAGACTATCCAAGGTCCTGTGTTTGATCCTCAGCATTAACAATCCTGCCCCGCCCCCACTAGTTTAAATTCCTTAAGGAACTACTATTTAACATGGACACTCACCCCTGAAAGGCTTATATTCTGACATACAGAGTTTTCAAATGGTATTTGTAAAGTCCAAGTAATAAATATGAAGCAAATGCTCAGATTAGGGGAAACTGTACCCTGCAAATAAGTAAGGACTATACTTGTTCTTATCTATTAAATCAGATTCTCATAAAGGGCCTTTCATGGATACATACCAACTCATTGTCCCAACTAATGACTATCCTGAATCAAGGAGAATTCATTTGCTATCAAGTGCAAAAAAAAACTCGAAAAACATTCAGACCTTCCTCTAACTCAAATGGCTCTTCTAGCCACAATCAATGAACTGCAACAACCTACTGTACTCTCAAATTGTACTGCCCAAGCAAAAGGTACTTTTCCCCATTTGTACAATCTCCTTCACCAGCTCACGGAGAGGAACAAGGTAAATATAGAAACGCTGATATTCATCTATCCCAAGCAATGTTCATTACACACGAGAAATGTCAGCTAGGTCTTTAAGAACAAAGGACCCATGGGACACAGTTTAAAAGATAACGCCCTGCTCCTGCCTCTTACCAAGGGCTCCGGTCACAGTCATTTTCTGTGTCACTGGAGAGACCTGTTTTTCTAGCAGTCTAACGCACGGTAGCTCCCTGGGTACCTCTTGAGTAACTCACTACCATACTTGTGCTAGCTTTTGACACAGGACCGAGGGTGGCGCCTAGGTGTGCCAGGAGGACTTCCTTGTACAAACGCATGTAAGTTTTTTTAAGAATTCAAATATTTGGGGGAGGGGGGAAGGAGAAGGATTGGGATTGGGGGACGGGGAGAGGCTGGGAAGTGATGTGAAGGGTAAACAAAGGAGGAGGCTGCAGTGCTTGGTAAGAAATGTACGCATTATCCTGCCCATGCAATTGTAACCCCTCTGTACAGTATGTTCACAAATAAAATTAAATTAAATTAAAAAAAAAGAAATGCACTCATTACCTTGCTCATGTAATTGTAACCCCTCTGTATGGTATTTTCACAATAAAAATTAATATTAAAAAAAGAAAAAAAAGAATTCAAATATTTGTGATGAGCATTGACTTCTGATAATTTACAGACCAAATGGGTTAACAAATTCAACATTCATCATCAGAAAAAAACATGGGGTACAGAAATGACCTGTAACATATTTCATACACCGATAGCTAAATACTAGGCTTTCAAAAAAAAAAAAAAAGGAAAAATAACTGATTTAAGCCTGGCTTGGGGGCAAGTCAGGCTAGATCCACTTTGCTGAGGGTACCAAATCATGCAAAGAAGTTCCATTTTACACCTGTGCATATTATTTACCAAGTCGCTTCACAAACAAATGGAACAACACCAGCTCCAAACCTGAAGAAACTTCACACTTGCCTGAAGTTTCACACTTGCTGGAGGCGTGAGCATGAAGCTAAGACTTGCGGAGCCAACCCATGTCTTGCTATCACTTCCACACCAACTGTTTTCCTTGGACAACACAGCGCATTGCATTGGGTGAAGTGTATTTACAACCAACTGTCTATGTAAATATAAGAGATGCTAACGTACTAGTAACAGAACCGAATTAGCCTTGCTGATTTTTGCCGGTCTTCCTGGTTGCTTAGCAACTGATTCCAAGTAAAAATTAAATTAAGCAATTCAAATGTAATGCTAAAGAAACCTTTGGAAATGCTGCCATTCCGATGCTCAGTATTGCCCTTTGCTGTTTGGATGGCACTCTGGGGCAAAATGAAAGTTCTGTTGGGTCCTAATATGCTAAAGATAGAAATATACAAATACAGGAAATCTGATGGCAGAATATGTAATATCTACATAGAGTGAAGAGAGCACGTGTGTGTGTGTGTGCGTGTGCGCATGTGTGTGTGTGTGCTTGGATAGACACTTACATGGGCACACACTCTGTAGTAGTTGGTCTCAAACCAAAAAAATGCCACACAGGAAATCTTATATGACAGGTGTTATTTTAAGCCTTTGAGGGATAAACTAAAATCGAGCTTTCAAAAAATTACTTTGGGGTATTCTTGAGTTTTTGCCCACACTGAGTTAGCAAAGGAGAATTATGCTGAATGGAGGGGTTGGGCTAACGGCACAGGGCTGGAGAACCGGGGAGCAGAAAGCGCAAGGCCCTGGGAGCCTCCAGCCCTCCGGTGTGCATTCCCGAGCTCGGCTGCTGCCGGAAAGCTGACAGCGCTCAGCACACGGAACTACCAAATCCCGATGTGCGGCGCACGGTGAAGAGAGCATGATACTCCCAGGGCCACCGGCGCCTCCGGCACTCTGGGATGGAGTAGGAGGGGATAAGGAAAGGCAAGATGTCAGTGTGTGGACTGATTGAATGAAGAATGGAGGCTGCCAAATGAAAGCTCTCTATCTCCACACCCTCTTCCCCGCCCCCTCCCCAACTCTGAACTTGAACTTGATGCGTGAGGGCAAGCAGGGACTCATGGCCTAGGCAGACGAGCAGAAGCCCAAGGAAGGTGCTCAATGAATGATCTAGATGTGCTCCTACCGAGGGCTCCAGAAACACTGTACCTAGATCCTGTGTCATCACTTCCATCTTGGAGCTTCCAGAAATCTGTTTGTAGAGTGAATTACTACTTATTGAAGTACCTCCTGTGTGCAGGGGCAGTGCTGGGTATCAAAAATAGAACAGTGAACCAGACGGGAGTTTTGTTTTGTTTTGTTTTGAATACAATCCTAGTGACAAAGGAGTCAGAGACCAGCTGTTAAAAGTAGGAGTACCTGAAGATTAAATGAAGCAACTCAAATGCGATGTGAGGGCAGCCTTCGGACTTTTTGCAATTCAGAGGCTCCAAAGTGCCCTTTGCTATTTGGATGGCACAGCGGGGCAAGAGCTGTGTCTGGACACAGAAAGCTGTGTCTGGACTCTGCAGTGGAGAGTCAGCGTTTCACGGGCATCAGCAGGAAGGCGGGTCTAGCACTAATTATCTGAGCATGGAGCTGAAGAACAGAAAGCAGCCAGCCTGCAGCAAAGCCTCCCAGGCAGAGAGAAAAGCAAGTGCAAAGGCCCTGTGCTGGAAACAATCTTCCCAATTGCTAGATTGGGCTAGAGGAAGGTTAGACAAGAGTTTAGGGAGCTGGGGCCGAGGAGGAAGCATGGAACATTGTACAACGTTGTTCAGGTTGATGGGACATGTGAGTCATTCCACAAGCCATGAGAAGCCATCAAGGGCTGTAAACAAGGCTGGGAAGAGGGGGTTGGGGGGTGGGGGAAGAGAAGAGTCAAAATCATGGGTTTTGTTTTGGCTCTGCTCAGTTTGAGATGCCGATAAAACATCCAGGCTGAAATGTTGAGTCATGAGCAGACAATCGCCAATCAGCAGGATGAACACGTAAAGCAGTCAGTTCCATAAGGATGCCAGTGGATGGACAGACACAAGGAGAAGAGGAAGGATGGAGTGTTGGAGATGAGAGGGAAGTTGAGGAAGTCAGAATTACAAACTTCACACATGGCATGAAATACGGAAATACCACAATGAACCCCTCACTTCCCACATTCATCCCATTCTCACTACTGGAATCTAAACGTACATTGTTCGCTTGAGGCTTCCAAAAGCTTGCTCTTGGTTAAAAATGTTCACAGGGCAGACTAAAGAAAGACCTTGCTACAGCCGTTACTCCTTATAAAAGAAAAAAACAGCCAGGTGCTGATGGCTCACACCTGTAATCCTAGCTACTCATGGGGCTGAGACCTGAGGATCAGAGTTCAAAGGCAGGAAAGTCAGTGAGACTC